CCGATCTGAACCCGAGTGGTGTTTTGTTATTGGACTTCTGTGCTAGTCACAGTTTGTCCATAACAAACACCATGTTCGAGCACAAGGGTGTCCATAAGTGCACGTGGCACCAGGACACCCTAGGCCGGAGGTCGATGATCGACTTTGTCGTCGTGTCATCTGATCTCCGGCCGCGTGTCTTGGACACTCGGGTGAAGAGAGGGGCTGAGCTGTCAACTGATCACCACCTGGTCGTGAGTTGGGTTCGCTGGCGGAGGAGGAAGCCGGAAAGACCTGGCAGGCCCAAGCGTGTAGTGAGGGTCTGTTGGGAACGTCTGGCGGAGCCCTCTGTCAGAGGGACCTTCAACTCGCACCTCCGGGAGGACTTCTCCCGGATTCCGGGGGAGGCTGGAGATATGGAGTCCGAGTGGGCTTCATTCTCGGCCTCTATTGTCAATGCAGCTGCTCGGAGCTGTGGGCGTAAGGTCTGTGGTGCCTGTCGCGGCGGCAACCCCAGAACCCGGTGGTGGACACCGGAAGTAAGGGATGCTGTCAAGCTGAAGAAGGAGTCCTATCGGGCCTTGCTGGCTCGGGGGACTCCTGAGGCAGCTGACAGGTACCGGCGGGCCAAGCGTGCTGCAGCCCGTGTGGTCGCGGAGGCAAAAACTCGGAGCTGGGAGGAGTTCGGGGAGGCCATGGAGAAGGACTATCGGACGGCCTCAAAGAGATTCTGGCAAACCGTCCGGCGCCTCAGGAGGGGGAAGCAGTTCTTCACCAACACTGTTTACAGTGCGGGGGGAGAGCTGTTGACCTCGACTGGGGACGTTGTCCGGCGGTGGAAGGAATACTTTGAGGATCTCCTCAATCCCACCGTCACGTCCTCCGAGGAGGAGGCCGAGGCTGGGGACTCGGAGGCGGACTCATCCATCACCCTGGCCGAAGTCACTGAGGTGGTTGGCAAGCTCCTTGGTGGCAAGGCTCCGGGGTTGGATGAGATCCGTCCTGAGTACCTGAAGTCTCTGGATGTTGTGGGGCTGTCTTGGCTGACACGCCTCTTCAACATCGCGTGGCGGTCGGGGACAGTACCTCTGGACTGGCAAACCGGGGTGGTGGTCCCTCTGTATAAGAAGGGGGACCGGAGGGTGTGTTCCAACTATAGGGGGATCACACTTCTCAGCCTTCCCGGTAAGGTCTATGCCAGGGTACTGGAGAGGAGAATCCGGCCGATAGTCGAACCTCGGATTCAGGAGGAGCAGTGTGGTTTTCGTCCTGGCCGTGGAACACTGGACCAGCTCTACACTCTCCATAGGGTGCTCGAGGGTTCATGGGAGTTTGCCCAACCAGTCCACATGTGTTTTGTGGATCTGGAGAAGGCATTCGACCGTGTCCCTCGTGGTGTCCTGTGTGGGGGTGCTCTGGGAGTATGGGGTCCGGGGCCCTTTGCTAAGGGCTGTCCGGTCCCTGTATGACCGGAGCAGGAGCTGTGTTCGCATTGCCGGCAGTAAGTCAGACCTGTTCCCGGTGCATGTTGGACTCCGCCAGGGCTGCCCTTTGTCACCGGTTCTGTTCATTGTATTTATGGACAGAATTTCTAGGCGCAGTCAGGGGCCGGAGGGGGTCCGGTTTGGGGACCACAGGATTTCATCTCTGCTGTTTGCGGACGATGTTGTCCTGTTGGCTTCATCGAACCAGGACCTGCAATGTGCACTGGGGCGGTTTGCAGCCGAGTGTGAAGCGGCTGGGATGAAGATCAGCTCTTCCAAGTCCGAGGCCATGGTTCTCGACCGGAAAAAGGTGGCTTGCCCTCTCCGGGTGGGTGGGGAGTCTTTGCCTCAAGTGGAGGAGTTCAAGTATCTCGGGGTCTTGTTCACGAGTGAGGGAAGGACGGAACGTGAGATTGACAGGCGGATCGGTGCAGCTTCGGCAGTGATGCGGTCGCTGTATCGGACCGTTGTGGTGAAGAGGGAGCTGAGTCGAAAGGCGAAGCTCTCGATTTACCGGTCAGTCTTCGTTCCTACTCTCACCTATGGTCATGAGCTCTGGGTAGTGACCGAAAGGACGAGATCGCGGATACAAGCGCTCGAAATGAGTTTCCTCCGCAGGGTGGCTGGGCGCTCCCTTAGAGATAGGGTGAGGAGCTCAGTCACACGGGAGGAGCTCGGAGTAGAGCCGCTGCTCCTCCACGTCGAGAGGAGCCAGTTGAGGTGGCTCGGGCATCTGTTCCGGATGCCTCCTGGGCGCCTCCCTCGGGAGGTGTTCCGGGCATGTCCCGCCGGGAGGAGGCCCCGGGGAAGACCCAGGACACGCTGGAGGGACTATGTCTCTCGGCTGGCCTGGGAACGCCTCGGGGTCCCCCGGAGGAGCTGGAGGACGTGTCTGGGGTGAAGGAAGTCTGGGAGTCCCTGCTTAGGCTGCTCCCCCCGCGACCCGGCCCCGGATAAGCGGACGAAAATGGATGGATCTCATTTAAGATTCATTTGGAAATGTGTGTCCACCACCGGGTTCGGGAATTGCCGCCACGACAGGCACCACAGACCTTACGCCCACAGCTCCGAGCAGCCGCATCGACAATAGAGGCCGAGAATGAAGCCCACTCGGACTCCATATCTCCGGCCTCCCCCGGAATCCGGGAGAAGTCCTCCCGGAGGTGCGAGTTGAAAGTCCCTCTGACAGAGGGCTCCGCCAGACGTTCCCAACAGACCCTCACACGCTTGGGCCTGCCAGGTCTTTCCGGCTTCCTCCTCCGCTAGCGAACCCAACTCACAACCAGGTGGTAATTAGTTGACAGCTCAGCCCCTCTCTTCACCCGAGTGTCCAAGACACGCGGCCGGAGATCAGATGACACGACTACAAAGTCGATCATCGACCTCCGGCCTAGGGTGTCCTGGTGCCACGTGCACTTATGGACACCCTTGTGCTCGAACATGGTGTTCGTTATGGACAAACCGTGACTAGCACAGAAGTCCAATAACAAAACACCGCTCGGGTTCAGATCAGGGAGGCCGTTCCTCCCAATCACCCCTCTCCAAGTGTCACTGTCATTGCCCATGTGGGCGTTGAAGTCCCCCAGGAGAACAACGGAGTCCCCGGTCAGTGCACTGTCTAGTACCCCTCCCAAGGACTCCAAGAAGGCCGGGTGCTCAGCACTGCTGTTCGGCCCGTAGGCCGACACCACAGTGAGAGACCTGTCCCCGACCCGAAGGCGCAGGGACGCGACCCTCTCGTTCACTGGGGTGAACTCCAACACACAGTGGCTGAGCTGTGGGGCAATGAGCAGGTCCACACCAGCCCACCGCCGCTCCCCGCGGCCAACGCCAGAGAAATGGAGAGTCCAGCCCCTCTCAAGGAGTTGGGTTCCAGAGCCCAAACTGTGCGTGGAGGTGAGGCCGACTATATCTAGTCCGTAACGCTCAACCTCCCGCACAAGCTCAGGCTCCTTCCCCCCCAGCGAGGTGACATTCCATGTCCCCAGAGCTAGTCTCCATGTCCGGAGATCCGGTCGTCGAGGCCCCCACCTTCGACTGCCCGCCCAGATCTCTCTGCACCGGCCCCATATGGCTCCTCCCGCGGGTGGTGGGCCCACGTGAGGACGGCCCCACGTCGCTCCTTCGGGCTAAGCCTGGCTGGGCCCCGTGGGGGAAGGCCCGGCCTCCAGGCGCTCGCTGGCTAGCACCCACCCCAGGCCTGGCTCCAGGGTGAGGCCCCGGTGACGCCAATCCGGGCGACGTAACTGGCCTCTGTATGTGACTCATCATGTGGGGCTTCTGAACCGTTCTTCGTCTGACCCGTCCCCCCGGACCTGTTTGCCTTGGGTGACCCTACCAGGGGCATGAAGCCCCCGACAACATAGCTCCCAGGATCATTCGGGCACTCAAACCCCTCCACCACGATAAGGTGATGGTTCAAGGAGGGGCTGTTTTAAAATTTCAAGCTAAATATGGACAGTATTAGTAACGTCATTCCTTTATTTTGTACACTGCTTAATTTGAGGAGAGGAAATATGCCCCCCAAACTGTGTCCCATTGTGTTCCCCCACCTTGGAACTGGGCTAGAAATTATAATGGCACTTGATTACACGTCTGCTCCATTAGCCTACCTGCTCAATGACGAGTCTGAGATGCACACATATTATGGCGCAATATTATTCACAATTATTATTCCGTCCATAGCTAAAAAATAAATAAATAAAAAATGCATACAAAACATATGCAAGACACCAAATTACACCCAATTGCACCCAAATTAGTCCATAAAGTTTATTTAAAATCACTGTGCATCTCCCACTCTTGGCTTCTTATCCAAGAACTCCACCCACAAATTGGTATTATGTGGAATAAAACTTTTCTAAAAACTAAATTCAAGATGACTAGCACCAGTGACCTCTGCAAATACAACACTCTGGCTAACTAGGAAATGAGGCCATATGTCCAAAATTCCAAACTTTCCCTTTAAGAGTGTAGTTGTGATGGTGCGCTGAGCTGAAGAGACTGCTCACTTCAGTTCTGCTTTTTGCAATTTTCTATCTATGTATTGTAAAAGTTTCTGTGCACCTTGAGTGAGAGTATCTCAGAATCTCAGGCACCTCAGAGCTTCTTCACAGTACTGAACAGGTGATGAATCCACAAGCAAGAGTCAGATAGAGGGCCTCATACTCAGCATGATTTTAGGGAAGTGCACTATTAAGCAAGAGGGGAGTTCATTGTTATGCAACTGCAGTGTGTTCTATGTAAGAAATAATAACCCGGTGAAATAAAATATAAATATAACATTCATTTTAAATCACTGTAAAATACAAACAAATAAAAATATTTAAGGCCAGCTCATGAGATTTACCCCCATCTGGATCTGCTGTAGTTGAATAAGCCTACTTATGCTCAACAAAATCACTTATTTCCCCAAATTGCAATTCACAAGATTAATTTGTCTCTGATGTTACAGTGTATTTTTTCCCAAACATTTGAAATCCTTATGATGGAACCATAAACAATGTAATGCCAGGTCAGAGCACTTGCATCACTTGTTAAATCTCTTTACTCCGGAAACTAAAGTGAGAAGTGAATCCTTCTAAGCATATGATGCACACATAGAGGTGGTTGATACATCGAGGTGGTTGTTTTCAACGCTCAAAAGTAAGTACATTTGAATGTTTTTTATCTCACTTTTACTTAGGCTAAATCAAAGGAACTGAACTTGTTCCATTATAATCAAGAAGTGAGATGAAAAGATTTGATGCTGTAGATAGATTGATTCTTCTGTGATTTTTTTCTTTTGAGTACAATATCAGCATAATAGATAATCAGCTTTATTGCATATATCAACAACAACATAAAAAAATTTGCTAAACCATAAAAATAGTTTAAACAATGTTTAAAGTAATGTCAGGATGTTACCATGTTTGTATGCTTTTACAGATTTTTCTGAAACAATGGATTTGGATTATGTCAATTATGATGACTACATTTCAACCGATGAAACTGAGAATACTACAAGTGACGATGGGCAATTCCTTTTTAATGACACCCAGACACCTTTGGCCCCAATACTGGTTACAATAAATGTCATTATATGTGTGTTTGGTCTTGGAGGAAACTCCTTAGTCATCTGGATCTGTGGATGGAAAATGAAAAAGACAGTGATAACCACCTTTTACATCAGTCTGGCTATTTCCAACCTTTTGTTCTGTGTCTTCCTGCCCCTGGAAGTTTTCTACATGATGACTCTGCACTGGCCATTTGGACTGCTCATGTGCAAGCTGACCTCCTCTGTCCTATTTCTCAACATGTACAGCAGTGTGTTTCTATTAGTCCTGATTAGCATTGATAGATGTGTAATGGTTTCATTTCCTGTTTGGTCACAAAACCATCGTTGCCCGTGGAAAGCTCTGGTAATTGTTGCCATAGTGTGGGTGCTATCCGCACTCTTGACCCTCCCCTCAATGATCTATAGGCATATCACTGCACATGGCACAGTCACTCAGTGTTATTCAAATTACAAAGTCAAATCACAGCACAAAGCAGTGGCACAAACACGATTTATTTGTGGCTTTGTTATTCCTTTTTTAATCATTGTTGTTTGTGGTGTAGTGCTTGCGGTCCAGCTTAAGAATGTGACACTTAAATCTGCAAGACCATATAAAATTTTGTCAGCTCTTATATGTTCATTTTTCTTCTGCTGGGTTCCTTATCATACTTTTATCTTTTTGGAGTTAGACTTCAACTACAGCCCAGATGTACTTCGCACAGGACTAAGGATTGGTGCAACCTTGGCAGCAGCAAACACTTTCATGTCACCAGTTCTCTATGTGTTTATTGGTAATGACTTTAAGACCACTCTAAAACGGTCACTCACATCAAGAATAGAAGCAGCACTGGCCGATGATCTACGCTCAAGATCAAAGTCAGTGGATATTGTACAATTGTAAAATGTATACAAATGTTTTGTTTACAAAAATACCAGTTGTGTTTTTTTCCAATAAAATTCTGCCAATGTTGTGTCAAAAATGAAAGACTATAAAATAACGCACCCTTATTAACAGAAGATTAATGAGATTCATGCAGAATTTATAATAATATCCTTTGAAAATATAGGCCCTGTCCAGTAGACCTACTGTACTGACAGCACCTCTCCATGTGTCTCCATTATATACCGTCAAACCCCAAAGGTTTTCGTTTTGAAGTAAGCTTTACATAATATATTTGGTTACATTTACAACTTACAACTAGTATTAACTACAGGTATAATTATATCATTTTAACATGTAATGTAAACTTGATATTTTTTACTAAATGTGGTGTAAATTATTATTACGGGGGCGTGGGAGCTGTACATCTTAAGCGGGCCGCAGCACTGCAGACTTGGCAGTAGTAATCGTGTCATTATTACATTACTTCCTACAGCCACACGAGGGCCGTGCATGGGAGTATGGGGCCCGATCATGGATCTATTAAAATAACTGGATACAGTATTGCTGCTTGTAGCTGCCTCCAGTTGACGTAGTGGTCACTCACTGGAACTTCAGCAGAAAAACTCTCACGGGCCGAGACAAGATTTTTCTCATAGAGCGCAATGTAATTACAAACTGCTCGTGTTCGTCTGACAGATCACCTACAGCTTTCAAAATGTCGGATTTGCTGGCGATTTTTATCTATTTTTAGATCATAAACTGTTTCTCAGCTCAAAATCCTTCAGTTGTCTTAAAAAACAGTTTATATTCCTTAGCTTCGGCTACGCTCTGATTGGTCAAAGCGATCACGTGACACACGAGCCCGCGCACCGTGCGTGCGGTCGCGTGCATTCGCGTGTGCACGTGGGAGAAAAGAGCACTAGTGCGCATTCTCGGTCGGCCCACAGCCGCCGGAAGTACCTAGCCGGGCTAGGCTAATCTGGGATCATGCACCATTGAGCTCAGCCAATTGACTTGAAGGGGCGGCCATTTTGGAACCTGGGGGCTTGGGCCATGGATCTATCTATCTTGGGCCTGATGGGGCCGTCACATAGAACTCTAATAAAATCTTAATAATCTTAACTTAATCTGAACTCTAATCAAATAAAATCTAATAAAATTAAATCTTAACTCTAATAAAATAAAATAAAGTTTTTATTATAGACTCATGGGACTCAAGGTGCCCCGCCCCCATCAGTTACCCGGATGTTGATACATCCGGTTGTTTCAGTGTTGTGGAAAGTGTTGCAACCACAGACTGTAGATTGCAACTAACTGTTGGCGTATTAGATTTCCTTTGGCTGCCTGAACGTTAAGACGACACATTTATTAATGTTCGTGTCTTGCTAGCCTTTTCTGTTCTGATTTTACTTATGGCTCAGCGGACAAATTTCAGGAGAAGTTCTATGATTAGCATTAGCGTTAGCAACAGCTGTTGACTTGACTGTCTATCTCTGTTAGATCCATAATGCAGGCCTGAATGTCACCATGTCTTTGCAAAAACAGTAGAAAATTCCAGCTAAATCGTGTTTTTTTACGAGTAAATATTTATTAAAGCGCAAGGTGCTGTCGGAGCCACTCTAGTCTGCTCGATTTGAAAGGATCTAGTTATAAATGGCCACCTTCGCGGCTGCTGAAAACACAGGCACCACGTCCAGCAACTCGACTGCTGCCGACAGTGGAAACCAGGACAGCACATTTGAGTGTAATATATGTCTAGACACAGCCAAAGATGCAGTCATCAGCCTGTGTGGCCACCTCTTCTGGTGAGTGCTCCAAATGTTTTGAAAAATTTTATTTAAATGTTCTGTTTGCTCAAGCCACGCTTCAATTAACAATGCGAGTTTTATTTTCCCTTTTCAGTTGGCCTTGTTTGCACCAAGTAAGTGACAAAATGGTTGTCTATTTAATACAATTTGTACAATTAATTAATTAATTAATTAATACAATTTTATTTACGTGTTTTATACAGTGGTTGGAGACTCGACCAACCAGACAAGTTTGTCCTGTGTGTAAAGCTGGAATAAGTCGAGATAAAGTGATCCCATTGTATGGGAGAGGGAGCACTGGGCAGCAGGATCCCAGGTCTGAACTTGGAATCAGAAACACTTCCATGTCTTAAAGACAATTGTAAATATTTTTATTCTCTTGAACAGAGAAAGAACACCCCCTCGACCACAAGGACAAAGACCTGAACCTGAGAATCGTGGTGTAAGCTGCTTGATGTTTGTTTTTGAGTCGGGTCTTTATTTATGATGATGAAATATTTTGGTAAACCATCCCGCTGAGCTAAAATTCACAATAACAATTCCTTTTTCTTTTCTAACTAGAACAGATGCAATGCATCTGCAGGTGCAATGAAACAAATTTATATTTATTTTCTTAGGGATTTCAAGGCTTTGGGTTTGGAGATGGAGGATTCCAGATGTCATTTGGAATAGGTGCCTTTCCATTTGGTATTTTTGCCACTGCATTTAACATCAATGATGGAAGACCACCACCTGGTAAGTTTTATGTGCTTCACTCATGAATTTGGTTCTGTTGTCATATTTTCTTTTAAAAAGAAACATTTTCTTAACAGCAGCTCCTGGGACTCCACAGCACATGGATGAGCAATTTTTGTCACGGCTCTTCCTTTTTGTTGCATTGGTAATTATGTTTTGGCTTTTGATTGCTTGATTAGTTAAATTAAACGGTTAACACTAAGAACAAAGGAGAGAATCCTGAAACATGTGCTGCTTACTTTTTTGTCATCCCAAAAACGTTTTAATTACAATGATTTAAATTGAATGTTATGCATGAATTTTAAGTCATTTTATAGCCTTAAATAAACATCCCAACTATGCCAACTATGCAATAGAAATCCTAAGTGGGCACTAAGCAGTAGTAAAGTTCAGTAGATGTTTTCAGAACTTTTTTTTCTTATAATGGCAAACCTGATTTTAAAATGTATAAATGCCATCAATAGAAAACTTATATATATATATATAAGTTTTTTTCAATGTTTAATTCTGGGTCCTACTGAATACTCAATCTAATAGGTCTACTATTAGATTTGAGTATTCAATAGGAGGTGCTTATTTAGCTAATAATTTTACTAAATATTTAATATTCAATGAGGATATCGGTTTAACACAAAGAATGCATAATATTCAATTTTATTCATTAGATCAAACTTTTCTACAAAACTACCTAACAAAAAAAATCATTAGTCTCTTTGTTTTATGGACAAATTGAAATCCAATGTGTAAAACCATACAAACCAGGTTACTGTATACAACTATATTTTGTAAAATACTGTATAAATGAAGGTAAACTATACTATTCACTAAATGTGAAGATCCTCTACAAATCAATACATTGCATTGTAAATAAAGTTGCTCAACACATTGTTAATACAGATTTCTATGAAGTTATTTTAGTCTTGGACATCTCCTGAATGTTTCTCTGATTCAAACACATTGAATTCTGCTTCATACATTATTTGCTGAATCCTTATTTTAGTTTCACATCTTTTTTGAGGAGCAAGTCTTTTAAGGGCTGGAACAAAACTCAGCAAAAACAGTTCATCTTCATCCCGAGGTCTAGTAGTTGCTGGTGAAAGGTTGTTGTCTTTTAACAGCCACTTAGGAGACAATTCTGTGGCATTTGTATTTGTTGCATCAGTGATGGGAAAACTGTCACGTGTGAAACGACGTTTCCGTCCTGGCTTATTAATTATTGGGGAGATACTAGACGAGATCTTAGCCAGTGCTGCCAATTGAGCAATTTGAGCGTCATGAGCAACAGATGCAATCTGTGGTTTGATGTCATGTTGATTGAGCTGATTATTTTTTGTACAGGACTGTGGGGTCTTGATCACCTCTGATGTAGGTGTAGTTTCTCCCTCTGCACTTCCAGATTCAGTGTCATGGTTATCGTGCTCATCCTCTGGAGACATGTCCGTCAGACCAATTCTTGACCCAGTAAAGGGTGCAATGAAATTCATTAGCTGTCTGTATCTCCATCTGCTTTGAACAGTTTCTCCAAAAAGCGATTTACTTTTTATCTCCAGGCGGACTTCTTTTAAGTAGCGGTCTCTCATGTTCTTCCATTTTCTTTTGCACTCATCAGCTGCAACACAAGGCACAAAACATGTATTTCACTAGGCTTGTTGTCAAATTTATTTAAAATAGTATCCAAATTATAAAGATAAACAAATGTGAAATCTTGTGAAGACAATAGAAAATTTGGCTGCACAAAAAAAGCACTATGTAACTGTTCTGGTGGAGGTTCCTCTACTCGCTTGTCACCAAAGGAGAGGTTACTGCTCTGCCTGCAGTGTTAAACAGAAAGGAGAAACTTTACTGGCAGTTATTAAACTTCTGTATTGTTTATGTTCAAGTAAATAATACTGAGAAACATTTTTATTATAAAATAAAACTGAAACAATAATGGCCACCATAACCAGTCTTTTTTTAATGTACATTCTAAAACAGTGGTTTTCAAAAACTGGCATGGGTACCACTGGTGGAGCGCAGGCTCATGTGCAGTTCCAATATTTGCTCTCAAGTCCTGGTTTAGGATTAGAAGCTATTATGTAAACCTATTTTAGGTCTGGTTAGCTCTAATTTAGACCTGAAATAGTTGGACCTGGTTTAGCTCTGGTGGCACTCGTAAGGTCGAGGTGTGAAAAGTTTCTGAACCACTGTTTTAACAGTTGGGCTCCTTACAGCCTATAAACACATGTAGTTTCTAGTATGGCACAATGCACTAGCTAGAAAATTGCAAAAAAATAAAACGTAAGGGAATGCGCCATGGCTAAAGTTTGTCACACAGGCTTCTATGATATTACAAGGACCAAAAGCCGCCATTGAGCATTTCAATCTCCCTCCAATATACTTTCAGTCGCCTCCACGGCGAGCTTGTCTTTTTTAGCTCACGGCGCCATTGCGGTAGCGAGCGCATCGAAACACGCGGCACTCGCTTTCCACCGCCCGGGTGTGCCGCTCCCGTTGCCGCTCCACAGGCTGCCTCACCGTTGTTCCGTGCCGTGCCGTAGACGCCGCTCGCGGCACCAACGAAAATGCCAAACCATGAGGCGCGGATCACTGTTCGTGCAGCGCGGCCTGCAGCGCAGCTGATGCTACCGCTAGCACGGCACCGCGGCATCAGAAGCACAGATTACTGCATTTGCTCATGTTAAAACAAACAAACAATGGTCAGACTCAGAAGGACCTAAAAAGCAGAATATTCTCAGCGCTATGTGCATTTATAAGTCTTTGCCAAGTCCTGGCGTTTAAAACGAAGTGGACAAATGTTATTATAGAGTCAATAAAGTTTGGATAACACTTTAAACTCTAAAAATACTCACTGGGGAGACCAAGTGTCAAGCTGATGTTTTTCCACGCATTTGCCCGACTTTGTGTGCAGCGGTAATTTGGTAAAGTCGCATTGTATAGCTCGGGGTAATTAAATACAGCCAAAATTAACTTATCGTCCATGTTGCCCCCGTGCTGTGCCTTTGCCGTGTGGCTTTGCTGCGCGGACGGACGCGGAAGCGGCAGGTTTCTCCCGCCTTTTCCGCTCAGCAGCTGCGCCTGCCGCCCCATGCGCCCTGACGCTCTGTCTCTGCTTCAGTTTTACAATGTAGGATACTGAGAATAAAACGGAACACATTTCTATTTGCTAATAATAACATTGATAACATTATTACCCAGAGACGTCCACAAATTCAAATATTAAAATATATAAACACGCTTTTACAACAACTTTTTCACTTTAGTTTTTGCTGTTTTAGTGCGCTCTAGGTTAAGATTTGTGGATTTGCGGTCTTCAAGAGGTTTGTAACTGACAAGTAGGCTATAAAATGACAATATAACCAACTGATGATAGGATAATAGGATACGATTGAAGTGAATTATCTTAACTGCTTGCTCAAAGTCCGTAATGCAAGTTGTTAAAAAATGAAAATTTCTCAACATTCTGAAACCCACGGATTGGCCCTGGTGTTTGTGGCTTTACCAGCAGCAGTATTTAGTATATTTAGGTCTATAGTTATTATAAAATGTTGAGTCTTAACAGTGAAACAGAGAACAGTAAAATTTCAACATCATGCAATCATATAACTGTCTAAAATGGATGCAGATGGTGATCTATAACGGTGTGCATTAGATAGGCGCAGGCTATAAGCTTTCAACGCGTTTACAAAGGACAGGACTCTGTTATCTGTTTTCAAAAGCCCTTACAAAAGAAGCTTAAAACAGATTGAAGAAATCCATTAATTCTTATAAAAAGGTGTATTGCCTTGTATGAAATCTCAGGATTTGTAGAGGGATGAATTTAACTGCTTTACCTCAGCTGTGCACAGTCACATTGTCACAGAAGTCAAACTGAAAAGACTGCACAGCACAGATAAGGCACACATACAAACCACCTCATAAATTGCTAGTGTACTTCATGTGTTAAGATAAATGGTTGTCTTTTTAGGCTTGAAGCTCATCACTATGCACCAAATACATACCATTTTATCAGATAATTTGTTACATCCATCAAGAAAAAGTGACATTATGAAATGTATTTAAGAGCTAATCCTAAAGTCCGCTACATAATTCTCTGGCCACACCAAAACGTTCACCTAGCCTACTAAATCCTGGGATATAATACCAAGCAATCCCCTTTTCTCTAAAACCTTAACAATAAGGATCTTAGCTTCTCTCCACTTCTCATTTTATATAGTGAAATCTGATTTCTCGTGGAGAAAGGAATAAGGCAAGATTAACTGAATCTGCTGTCCTCCCTAACCTCTTCACAAAACTGCCCAGATTAGCCAGGAATTAAGTTTTAGACGTTTTATGTGGCTGGTCCATAGGGGGATTACTTTTTTTTTTTTTGCCTCCAAAATTCACTATAAGGAGCTGACACTTGAAGAGGAAGAAGAAGAATGATAGACGCTTTGGACTGTATAGATGGAGAGACAAAAGTTCCCTTTTAGCATTGAAAACATTCTGAATACCTGTCCCAGCACTCTTGCAGATAGCTCTTCATATGGAGTTGTAGGTTCTGGAGTTAAAGAGAAATTGCAGCCTTCTGTGAATAGAGTGGATCCTGGTCATCAGACATGTTTTTGCTGCTGCTACTGCTCCCACTGTGCATATTGTGGTGAAGTGTTTCAGACAGACTACATTCATGAAGGTAGGCTTTATAATGCTGGTGCATCTTTTCTTTTAAGAAACCCGTGTTTCTTACTTTTTTTTAGCGTGTACCTATGGATGGTCCCCCACAGCAATGCTTTCAGATCAGTGCAGGCTGGAAGATGGTCAGAAAGAGGAACAGTTGCATAGCCATGCACAGAGGAGAACCCGACGTCACCGCACAATTTTTACAGAGGAGCAGTTGGATGCGCTTGAGGAGCTGTTTCTCCAAAACCAATATCCAGATGTCAACACCAGGGAGAAATTAGCTGCACGTGCCCAATTGCGAGAAGAGAGAGTAGAGGTAAGACTGATGTTCAGTTTGGTTATGGGGCATCATAAAACATATTGCTTTTGCATTGTTTAGCATAATGCATAATCCTCTTAACTCACAATGTGAGCAGATAGTGAATGCAATTGATGTTTTTAAAAAACAGGTTTGGTTTAAAAACCGAAGAGCAAAGTGGAGACGACAGAAGAGACTCACATACAGTATGGGGCATTTGGAAAACTGATATTCAAAGGACAATATTACACAAAAGCATAACTATCCCAATTAGCTGTTTTTTGGGTAGATGTGGTGGCTTACATGTTGGTAACTAAGGTAAATATTTGAACAATTTCATGTAAGCTTAATGAGTTATTTATAGCAATATAAGATGACTAGTCATATGGTCTAGTTTAGAACATCAATATAAAGATATTAGATGTCTGCTGACTATTCTGGTTTGTGAATGTAACATTGTTCCTGTTAAATTTATGACATTCCATCTTTCTTAGTACTTTCATATTCTCGCTGTGAAATTATATTTAGAACACATGCAAATTAACAGAGAGAACACTTTTTAAAGCAATTTTCTTAAAACTGACTTGATTGATTTACATGTTTTTGTATTTGAGCTTTATGTAATGTCCACACACAATCTATGGTTCAGCCATAATGTAAAAAAAAATTAATAATAATAATAAATTGAAAAAAAAAAAAAAAATAATTTTTTAATGTTTTGCTAATAAAAATCATCATTACTGTTTGTGTTAGGTAAACAGAAAAGTTGTCAAGGTGCATGATGTAGGCCTAAATATTTTGGTGGAGGGTTCAGATGTTATTGTTTTGCGATGTGCCCCTGCTCATAGCAGGAATACATGTTTATGAAGATATTAAAGATATTTTTAAGCAATAAAAACACCTGTAATTTAATACATTCAAGATACTGGCATGGGGTGACATACCCTCCTCCAGAAAAGCTATACTATATTCCGACACAGTTCTCACCAATACTGAGCAGTGCATATGAAAAGTTTTCATGTTTTTCAAATTATTATTTGATTTGGTGGGATAGTATCTGTGGTAAATATTTATCATAGTTTTATATTGGGTGCCACCATAAATGAATTTATACAGCCTATGGTGGCACCTTATATTCTTAATGGCCTCCATCCAAGTATCAACCAGTCTCAGCCCTTCTCATCTTCTAATATCTGACAATATTAGATCATATTAGTCCAATCATAACTACTGTGCAATTCAGCCATGTTTTGGTCCTTTTGTAACATCTCTACGTAGGCTATGTCATATAAATTTCTTTGTAGGCCTATGTTAATTCTACTTCCTATGTCAAACCAGGAAGTAAAATAATAAACTTCACCCAATTCAATAAAAACAACCAAAAATTACAAATGACTAGACAAGTTTTTTTAGTAAAATCCTAAATATGTTTATGTTAATTATGTTTGAGTGAAATGAGTAGTCTAACCTGTCATATGCACTTCAACGCCTTTATTTATTTATTATTTATTCATTCATTCATTTATTTATTTCAGGGACAGCGCATAGTAATGAACATTTCTGTAAATATACCAGAATTAACTAAGAAGGCTATTTTTCATCAGTAGGCCTAAAACAAAAAAGCTTTAATCAAACTGGCTCTATTTTCACATTATTTTCCCATTAGACTTGCTCTTCCTACAGTAACAAGATGGCTGTAGCAATTGCCACGGCAACAGTATCCCTAGCTTTATTTATACAGACTACTGTCTTTTTTTTTCTTTCCTTTTTTTTTTAACCAGCCCTGTTTCCGGTGACGTATCACCAACGCCAAAACAGACGACATGTTAGCCAATGTTAGTAAAAGAACGGTCGTGAATCTCATAAACTAGTTTAGACATCGTCCCATTATTCTTATAACGGAGTGGGCATGTGTTTGTGCTTCATCTTGTGTTTTGGAAACTGCTTTCCATCAACCACTTTGTTTAGAAGTTCATTATAGTGAAAGACTGAGCTAGCTAACACTAGTGTGTAGACATGGAGGGTAGCGCTAGCGTCAGGAAAGCGCTGTCCGGGACTCTGGTCCCTTCAGCGGTCACAACAGTAGCCATACGGACTCCTTTAGAAGAACAGAACAACGACAGGCCGAAGAGGAAAGTCCTCGACGAAGAGGATTACATTGAGGTAAAAATAAAGGCATTCATGTTGCTCATAATATTGCCAACAAGGTCGCTGTTTGCTAATGCTATGGCAAAAAAACCCGTACCGAACAATATAGTAGTACATTTTTGTCGCTCTTGTGAACGGTGCTGACCGCGTTTTTGTTGTCTCAGAATTTAGAGAAAATCATTCAGCGAGACTTTTTCCCTGATGTTACAAAGCTACAAGCACAAAAGGAATATTTGGAGGCAGAGGAAAATGGAGATCTAGAGAGAATGAGACAGATTTCCATTAAATATGGATCTTCTCTCGCAAAAGCCACACCACAATCCGTGGCACCTTGTAAGTATTTAATATATGAAAGTCAAGTTGTTATCATTTTATGTGTTTTTTAATGACATGTGCTTTTCTGTTTTCATAAGATGTAACACCAGCCAGTTTTGAAACACCAGTGGGTCTACCAGGGTCTCCTGCATCCAGTCACAGCAGGAATTTGGTCAATAAAGGTAGAGCAGACAAGTGTAAAATGAAACAAATGAATATTTTATTTTAATGACATGTTTTTATATTTTTCTTAGACATTAAAGAAGATGAAGAGAAAGAAAAGGAATTGCCATCTCTGGATCATTTTCTTGCCAAAAATACCAGTGAGGATAATGCATCATTTGAACAGATAATGGAACTGGCAAAAGACAAAGAGAAACTGAGGCATGCCTGGTTATACGAAGCAGAGAATGAATTTAAACAGGTATGATGTTTTTTTTTTTTTGTTTTTTTTTTACAATATATAACTTTTTGTTCTTAAAGATACATCTGTGGCTAAATCATTAAAATAATTCTGTCTACTTTACAGCGACATCAAGAAAACCTGGCTTTACCAGCACCAGAGAAAGCAGCACTGGAGTGTGTTAAAGCTGGATTGGAGACCTGGGAGTATAAAGCCAAGAATGCATTGATGTATTATCCAGAAGGTAAGGACAACATTTCCCACTTTGTAAACAAACATAGAATAAACCTTTAAAGAAAAGACTTTGTTTTATGTTTTATAAAGGAGTTCCAGATGACACTGTCTTTAAGAAACCAAGAGAGGTTGTGCACAAGAATACACGATTTTCAGGAGATCCTTTCAGCAAAGCTCTCAACAAAAGCCAGATACAACAGGCTGCAGCTCTCAACGCTCAAGTAATATTTTACAAAATCTATTTTAAAAAGGGAAGTAAAATTTTCCAACCCATTTAATGTATATGATATGTACCCTTTGTGGCTAGTTTAAACAGGGTAAAGTTGGTCCTGATGGAAAGGAGCTCATACCTCAAGAGTCTCCAACTGTAAATGGGTATGGCTATGTGGGTACCCCATCACCAGCACCTGGTAAGTGTGAAGTGGCTGTCACCAACTGCCCTGAAAAGTAATTTTGTATTAAGTATTTTTATACATTTACAGGTGTAGCTGAATCCCCTCTCATGACTTGGGGCGAGATTGAGAGCACCCCATTTCGACTAGATGGCTCTGACACACCATATGTAGAGAGAAACCATGGTCCATCATTTAAGGTAAATTGTAGTAATAATAACAATGTCATGTATTTAAATGTACAAGCTTTTCAAAGTATAGTATAGTATAGTAGTCCATTATTCATTCATACTCTGGCTACTTGGTCACATAGGATGCACTCACACGAAGACTTTAGAACTGTGCCCAAGCACAGATCGCCCCTAAAGAGCAGTATGTTTGTCCAGTGTGAGCGCAATCGAACCGTGGTCAGGCGCGGCGAGTTGGGACTTTGGCCTGTTTGGAGGAGGTGGACTAAAGCACGATATAGTTGTTCATGTACGCATACACACAACTTTACTATACAAGCCCTGTCACGTTCGCTGATGTTACTCATATAAAGAAAACAGTGACTAAAATCTGCTCTGAAACACAGCAAACCCGCTTTTACTTTCAATCAGGATTGTGACAGAAGTTTAGCTACCTCTTGTCTCTGGCTGTCATCACTTCTCTGCGCTGTTTTTATATTCTGAAACTCACGGAGGAGCACGTATCATAAAAGGACACACATCAGCCTCACTATTTAATAGATATTTCTGCCCCTGGACTTTTTCTCCGCTAAAAGCATTAGCACATGTAAACAAACAGCGCCATTTGACGACATCTTAGGGGTGTTGCCTGGTTCGGATGTGCAAGTGTGAGTGCGGGCCATAGAACCTTATGCAATCATGCTTGAGCACGGCATGGTTCTAAAATCCTAGCGTGAGTGCATCCATAGTCACATTTTTATACAGTGATTTTCCACCTTCAGGGCACTCAAAGCACTTTACGGCAAGCAACCATTCACACATATTTATATACCAGTGGATGAAGACATCAGGGGTGAGATGGGTTAAGTGTCTTGCCCAAGGACACAATGACAGCATTCATTTGTGGCATCACCAACCTGTGGGTCAATGGATCTGACAACTCAACCATGTCTTGAACTTCTAGAGCCAAAGCTGCTACAGAGCCTGCCTTTGTTGGTGTTGAGCTACTGCCACCCCAGACTTTATAAATATTTTGACAAATCAGAACTATTGACATTTTTATAATCTTCTCATAGATCCCAGAACCAGGAAGACGGGAAAGACTTGGTTTGAAAATGGCCAATGAAGCGGCTGCCAAGAATCGTGCAAAAAAACAGGAGGCATTGCGAAAGGTCACACAGAACCTAGCAAGGTAATTTTGTATTTTTAAAAAACATTTCTGGCTCATTCTTGATGATATGCAAATGACTTTATCAATGCTTTTTCTGTTTGCAGTCTTACACCAAAAGGTATGAGCCCAGCCCTCAGCCCTGCCTTACAGAGACTTGTAAATCGGACTTCAAGTAAATACACAGACAAAGCATTAAGAGCTAGTTATACTCCTTCACCTTCCCACCGAAATGTGGCTTGCAAGTCCCCATTTAATGGCCCTGCAACACCTTCAGGAACCCCAACACCCAACAAGGCAAAGACACCGAGTTCTCAGGACGTTACTTCCCTTACAGACAATTTGTTACAGCTTCCCAAACGGAAGAAAGCATCGGACTTTTTCTAAAGAAAGTGCCATATTTGTTAACAAATGTAGATAAACATAACAATACAGTGCTGATACCAATATTTACATTTGAAGAACAAGAGTGTGCGCGTTTCATTTCAGCACAAGTTCATTAGATTATTTTCTTTTTTTTCCTCATTCATTTTAGATATGTGACATTTGTTTCCCTTTTAACTTAATGCCAGCGGTTTTGTTCAGTTGAGCAAAATATTGATGTATGTATGTATTTTTGAGAAGTTCTCTACCACTAAATATACTAGTAGTCTTGTCAACATCTTCAATTACGATTTGTATTGATTGCCGTATTATTGTCCTTTGCAATTTCCATATATGACCAATGATGTTTATTATCTACAACTCACAACTTTTCCGTAGTGTGTGTCCATTTGGGTTTGGCTGGTTAACAAAGAGCACTCAGTAGGTTTAGCTGGTAAATCATACATAAAAGTGCTCGGCACACAGCGGCTCTATTGGATCTAATCCGTTGAGCTCCGCCCAGCAGCTCCTCCAGCTGATGCCTGTTTGCCGCTGCGTGTTTGGGATTGTTGTGATGGGAGGCCGCGGCCATCTTGGATCAGCACCGATCCACACAGCGAGGAGCAGGACGCACAGGACGACTGAGCTCGGGCACTTGGCTAATGGTAGCCTGGCGTCCTAATTAACCACACCAGGGTGTTCTTCGATAGTAATGTGATCTGCAGACTGCGTTTCAGCTGTTAGCCATTTGCGTTGGCGCAGAAATGGTCCGAAACAGCGTTAATGGTTGAAGTCCAAGAGAAGAAGGGCGACGGCGGTGCACATCCTCGGTGTATATTTTTTATTTTTCTGAGGCGATATACTATGAATGGAGGATAAATGTTGCCGAAGGCTGACAGCTGCAGTTTTGTCCTCTTCTCGCTTTTCTTCGTCCTCACTTTAACGGACCCTCCACGGACAGGTAAATGCACAAATCACTGTTCGGAGCTAAGCGTACTTCATTCAGCTCCGTTTACCGAGGAGACGAGAGGCTTTAGGCGGCGGGTCCGACGAGCAGGCCTGCTGGTGCTGGTAGGGCTACACAGCACAGCAGCCGATCTTCAAGTGCCATGGGAATACAAAGACGCAATGCCCTTTATGTTTACAAACCATTGTGCATTCTTGAGAGAAAATATGACGCGTCATTTTACAACAAATATATGATTGTTAATCCGTTTGTTTAAGTACATCATGTAAGTCTCACGTAGCACCACACACACTCCGCAAACTGCACTTTGGTACAGTTTGGTGCACCAATATTTAATCATATCCTTGAAACGCAAACAGGCTGTTTAAATAAGTGTAGAAAAACATGCCACAGATGGCAAAATTAGAAGAACATTTTCCAGTGTCTATATACACATTGCTCGCATTTATCCCATTTGAAAAAATGGCACAGTTCAGATTTTACCCACTATAAACTGCATTTGGTAAATAGATTCATGAGACAAAACCATCTTGTGGTGTCCTCGGGCTGTGTCTTGTGATGCTTGCAATTGTGTGTTCATTAAAAACAACACATAATTGGTTCAAAAGTTGGTTTCCCTGAGAAAACAATCATAACACCACAATCTGCAGAGAAAGGTAGAAGGCAGAAATCCTTCCAACTTGTTAACTAAATTTCGTCTGTGACTGCAGATATGTATATTTGATTAAGTGGACCTGTCTATTTGCGTGCTTTTGTTTTTGCAATTATTTGTCTAGACATTTAGATGGGCAATAATATGCATCAAAGTGAAAGAAAAAAGTAACTGAGAGAACTACCGGTATTCTATTTGAATTCAGACTACAGAAATAAGGACACCCCATATGCCAACTAATGCAGAGAAACTATATTCATAAAGCACTGCTGGTCACGTTTCACCCCTGAACAAAATTTGTCTTCACAGGATAAAGTATATTATTTAGTGATAAGAGCATATTCCTGACAGTTTAAAATTCCTTTGAGACCACTGCTCAGTGAATCCTTAGTGATAAGCAGGTATTTAATTAAATAAGATAATATTTAGATAAAACCTTGAAGCTTGTTGGATGACATTTAGAAACAAGTACAACATATCACTTTATCCTTATGACTGAAAAAAATGTGCGTTACACAGTGATTATCTACTGCATACATCCAGATTCTCATCTCCACATAGCAGAACTGATACTAAGAAAAGGCCACTTCAGCAAAAGATCTCACCTCGGGACAGCTGTTATCAAACTGATGGAGCAGCCTCATACAGTTTTGAGAATCTTACATTCATAGTTTTATCAATGTAGAAATAATTTAAAAAAATATATCTTTGGGCCTCATTGAACCAAAATATCAAGTAATCTGTCTTTTCAGTAATTTCTCGACTTCAAGTTCAAACTTTGAAGAAATAAAAAAATTCGAATTGGTTTAGATGAAGTTAAATCTAAGAGTATTTAATGTAGTTTGCTACAATATAAGTAATGCAGACACTTTTCCCCAACTCCTCCTCCAGTTGTTTGCCTGTGTAAAGCTCTGAGTGAGTGACAGCTGGATTTAACTAATCACAATGTAATGTAAATTTTGAGCAGAAGTGATTGACAATAGACAAAATGTACATGGTCTGTGATAAAACCAAAGTCGTGATCTGGCTCAGAGAAAATTGTGATTTTCTTTTTTTCCACATTGCCATCCCTAGATCAGTCTCATTTATAAATATGAAAACACAAATACGTTTTGTATAAGGCCTAACTTCAATGTACTGGTAGTACTCAAAAAGAATATTGGAAGAAACACTTCCCTTTTACTGTAGATGGGTTTTGCAATAAATGACTACACAATATCAAGCTTGAAACAGCTTGCAGATGTGGTGTTTGAAGCAGAATAACATTTGAATGGAGAGTGGTTTTGGAAAAATGTGAGTGTTGCAAAAATTGTTGCCAGTGTGCATGGTCAGGCATGAAAGCACAGTAGAGCTATCCTCCCGTCCACTTGGTTTAACCGACTTTAAAATGCCCCTACAGTTGTGAGGTGACTGGGGAGACCAGCACTCTCAAAACAAGAACAAATGCTTTTGCGACTCACAACAACTCACAAATGAGTTGAGCAACATGACAACCAGAGTGTCATTTAGAGTCACTGAGCCATTCCTAATGAAGGGCAACTTTAAACTTTTCTAAGTTACACACAGGATAGTTATTCTAATGTTTCTATTTGTTACAGGTCCACGACTAGCTCTGGCCAGATTATTGTCAGGTAAGCAATTTCCTAGTACAGCAAGATTTCATATACAGTTAGTTCAGAAGAGCATTTATTTGAGTTTGATCTCTCATGATCAGGTCCCATTGCAGTTTTCAGGGCGACCTGGGGCGAGCTAAACACTTTCATGCACATGCGTCTCTAATGTTAATCAGATATGGCGTGGAGACCCACTTAGTGTGCACTGTGGCTCAGAGATGCTGCCAGATAAAAACCTTAGGAACTGCTCATTCTGTCTCTGCTGTAGGTCTTCTTAGAAATGGAGCTCACCAGTTTCAGCAGAAAGATCCATAGTGTTATGTTTTGAACCGTCTATGAACTCTAAACAAAAGTATTTTTATGTTGTTTTTTTTATGGACTGGGGACATCTGTGGAGGCATCAGAAATCACAAGACTATATTGTGTGTATTTTCATGTGTGTTTCTACTTGTATGTGTGGTTAAAAACAACTAAAGTCTGTGCATTTTCAAGAACCCATTATTAGGGGAGAGCAATATTGACAAATATTTCTTATGTAGTTAGTTATTTAGGTAGTTAGGACAAACACCGTGAGTTTGTGCTGTTTTAATATGCTATTTAGTAGCCTTTCTAAAAAGTATGATGTTGTTTAATAAAATATCAGAGCAAACTTCATTTTAAAGACCACTTTAGCATAAAAAAATTCAGTAAGCTTTTCCCCCCCTAAAGAATGTATACAGCAATAAAAATGTACAATGTGTAAAAGCTTGTTGGTATTTATAATGAGTTATTGTAATTATTTGACCCTACACAATTCCATGTTAATGTACCGATGAAGAGACTTAGAAGAAAAAAGTTGTTGCTTGTGCAAAAAGTTAATATTGCCCCTAAAAATATTTTTATTTATTGAACAATAGGTTTATATAGAAATTATTGTGGTTTGCCTGTTTTTAAATGTATAAAATATATATGTTTACATCTACAATAAATTATTGCTATTGTCAACACCACCCAAAGTTAGAACTTTATGAAGACCCCGTGCAGTAGCACAGGGACTACCTCCTCCTTTCACATGTTCTCAAAACATGGTGAAATAGTGTTAATTTAATAACTATATAAATTAATAATTTATTATTAATATTATTTCCTATAACTTTTCTAATGAAGGTTTTTCATTTGTGAGCCTCTCTATTGTTTGGAAAGTATAACTTCTTTTTCAGCATTTTGGTGCCGCAATGTTTCTATTAAAGGTATGATGACCATCCAAATTGTGTTTTTGTGTTTCAGAGCAACGCTGTCCAGGGCAGTTTGCCTGCCGCAGTGGAAAGCTGCAGTGTATCCCTTTGTCCTGGCAGTGTGATGGCTGGACAGCATGTGAGGACAAGAGTGACGAGATGGACTGTCCTCGTGAGTAAACACACACTACTGTGCGCTCAGGCTGGCACAAAGCCTTGACTTAAGTTCAGACCTGAGCTCCATCACTGTCAGTTGCATTTTTGAAAGACTATTGTGGTCACATGACTTCTGAGGGTGACTGGACATGTGTCTGTCTCACGCCTGTTCAGTGCTGCTGAGATGTTGCTGTTCTAAGCCCTGTACTCAAATCCTTTTGTTTTCCCCTTTTATTAAGTCGAACGACTTTATCCTCAGATCTGTAACCACATAATGGGAATTATTGAAAGGATTGAGTACAACATGTGACCTGCATACTGCAGTAGCTCAGCTGGGCTTTCCAACAACAGCAGTGCTTATTAAGGCCTTGGGATTGTTTTCATTCATAAAACTGAAGCACATGTCAATGTGCCTAGACGACAGGGACAATAATTACTGAATGGGCCATACATACATATATTTCAAAAAATATTACATATTTACATATTACTTTTGAATTGTTACATTTCTAAAAGTTACTAGAGGGAATTTTGGAGAAAATGTCCTTTTTGCTAATTTGAAGATCCTAATAGCTTTCTTAGAAGGCTTAACTCGACAAAATGTCCTCAACATAAACATGCAGCTATTTGGATTCATAGTGGCTGATTAGTCTGAGGAGGAATAGTCAAACCTGTTAAGTACATGAACTGAAGAAGAGTTAAAGTATCCTCTGCTCCTGTTAAGTATCTTCAGTCACCTTAAACATTTTGTCAATTGGAAATTAATTTTGATACTGCTATCTGGCATTTTTATCTAATTCTGAGGGCTCTGCTCTTGCATTGTTTTCTTGGACAAAACAAATGGCATGTACCACCCACCTCACTCAGTAAAATTATCTTTTTGATTTGAAAATTCCTTATAATGGGGAGACTTTGCAGAAAGGTTGTGAGTTTATCAATCATATTTCAACCAAGAACAGCTCAAGATGCATAAAATGTCAAATAATTCATACTGAGTTTGGCATAACTTAGCCTTGAGACAGATCTAAACTGACAAGTAGTGATTGACCTTGTGTCTTGTGTTTGCAGCTCTAAAGGAGGAACGGTACCGCTATGGAAATGGCTTTGACCAGGGAGAAGATGTCATTGGTGTAGCCCAGCCTGTGCGCTTCAACAGTAAGCTTAATCATGCACTGAGTAATTTTATGCATTTAGATACAGCGTTATTAATGTACTATTATTGTCTGCAGAAAAATGTCCTACTGGGTGGCACCACTATGAAAAGACGGCCAGTTGTTATAAAGTCTACTTGAGGAATGAGAACTACTGGCAGGCTGTGGACACCTGTCAGAAAGTGAATGGCTCTCTGGCTACTTTTGTGACCAACGAAGAGCTGCAGTTCATCTTAAAGATCGAGGTAGACTTTGACGACAAAGTCTGTGAGCGCAGAGACCAGTGCAAGTGAGTTTATTTAAACTTTAAAATAAAAAAATATAAATAAACCTGCAAATGAGATTTACTAACATTTTACACTGTGTATGTTTTCAGATTTTGGGTTGGCTACCAGTATGTGATAACCAACCAGAATCACTCACTGCAGGGCCGCTGGGAAGTGGCGTATAAAGGTACCAGTTAAACATCTTTTGTTAGTCTGCTTCATATTAAGTTTAACATGTGTCCTTCCTTGGTACAGGTGCTATGCAGGTATTTCTGCCACCTGAGGGTCTGGCCTCCATTGGTGATGCTTCTCCCTCCCAGGACAATGTGTTCTGTGCCCAGCTCCAGCGCTTTCAGATTAAAAGCATGAATGAAAGGGGTCTGCATAGCTGGCACGCAGAAAACTGTTACAAGAAGTTTCCTTTTCTTTGTAAAAGAAGTATGTTATAACATCACAGCATCTGTTCCCTTTTATTTTTGGCATTTGTTTCTGATTTTATGTATTTTATGTTGCAGGGCAAACTTGTGTGGATATAAAGGACAATGTTGTGAATGAGGGGTACTACTTCACCCCAAAAGGAGACGACCCGTGTTTGAGCTGCACGTGTCACGACGGAGAGCCGGAGATGTGTGTGGCAGCTCTGTGTGAGCGGCCTCAGGGCTGCCAGCATTTCCGCAAGGACCCTAAAGAGTGCTGCAAGTTCACCTGCCTTGACCCAGGTACACCCTCCTCCCCCACCTCAAATAAGACTTAGAACAGGGCAGTAACTACTTTGTCCACAAGGAGGCACCAGTAACAATCATGTGCCTTGTGTTCTACCAACTCATTTCAGTGTACTAGTAGTCTACCTGCTTAGTACTAAACCAACCTGTCTGTGTCATAGATGGTAACAGCCTGTTTGACTCAATGGCCAGCGGGATGAGGCTGATCGTCAGTTGCATCTCTTCCTTCCTCATCCTGTCCCTGCTGCTCTTCATGGTGCACAGGCTGCGTCAGAGGAGGCGGGAGCGAATTGAAACACTAATTGGGGGAAACTGTAAGCAGCAATTTTAGATTTTTATCTTTCCTCACCACTGAATCACATTGGGCGAAGATATGCTTCTTATTAATTTAAATTTGACAACAATCCTTCTTTCTCTCAGTGCATCATTTTAACCTTGGGCGGAGAGTTCCTGGGTTTGACTACGGCCCAGATATGTTTGGGACTGGCCTTACCCCCTTACACCTGTCTGATGATGGAGAGGGAGGAGCCTTTCACTTCCAGGAGCCGCCTCCACCATACGCTGCTTACAAATACCCCGACATGCCCCACCCGGACGACCCCCCTCCTCCGTATGAAGCCTCCATCAACCCAGACAGTCTGCTCTATGTGGATCTTGGTAAAAAAAAACAAACACCGTAACTCCTGTAAACACAACGCTACCTAACCAACTCCACACAATGCAGCGGCTTAACATGAAACTGCGCAGTGTACATGTTTTTGGTCATTGTGTGATTAACTTGAAAGCTAATCAAGACAAGACAAACCATGGTTTATACAACTTGGAGAGTTCAAGACAAATGGTGTTCCTGACACTGTAGAACATGATGTCGTACTTCTACATGGGGGGCAAGAGCCATTTCCTATTAATTACATTGTTCTTTGACATAAAATTTTGCAAAGGTAAATTCCCAAAAATGGAACCTGATCATTTCTATTATTGACTAGACCCAAGACCATGCTATATTACAACAAAAATCTGCAGGTGAACAAAACTGATTTTAGCTAAAGTGGTATTTATAGATAATATTATGTTTTCCTGGCTTAAGTTAATTTGTGCTTATCGAAAGGACATTGAATATTATGCCAGTTTTCACAAGGATAGGCCCAGTAATTACAGAGACAGACCATAAACTAGGACTAAATGTCTCCATTTTGACTATCTCTCTTGCCTACCAGTTCAGACTGTAGCCATAGGAATGTTGCGATGTGAACCCAACCTATTGATAATAATTATTTTCTCTTTAGGCCACACTGGAGTTGCCATGGTACCAGGCCAGATTAATGCCATTGGAGATGGACTACAAGCTGATATTCCTAACCCACATGGTCCAGGGTCAGTGATGGCCCCGCCTCAGGAGAGAGAGGACTCCATAGACAGCAGCACCCTCCTGGTGGGGCCGGACACCCCCACAGAGGGCCCCATGGCTCCAAACCCAATGTCCCCTGACTCCTCTCTCAGCACTGCTGTATAGGACTGACTCAGCAGCAGGACTAGTGCGCAGTCAGGAGGTCCTCTGAGTCTCTTGAGGACACAGCCCACTGCTCAGTCACCACGTGGAAACTTTGATTTAAAAAAAATGTCATGACATTTGAAGTTTGTACAGAAATGATAAATAGTTTGATTAAAATACTTCATGTTTTCTAAAGAGACTGGCATCCGAGTGATCAAAAGACTGTGGGGCAGGAGGAGTTAAACAGGACATGAACTGAAGGGTCTGTTTTTACTCAGAACCCCAAAAAGAGCGACGCTTTTGAACTGCTGCGACCTGGCCTTAGATCCAGATGCTCTGCTGTAAATACAGGTCTCAGGTCTGCACTGGTCCAGTTTATACTCCTGTGTGCTGCTCCTACCAACAATGACTTGCAGCTTTTAGTTTTGTGCTCTATGTTTTGAATCAGATGAATTTGTATTGCTCTATGATCATTGTTTTCATTAGCTGTGCTTGTTGCAGCGTGCCCTAACTTTTCATTAGCTAATCTTCCTTCACGTTCATATTTGCGTGGTAATAGGCAGGTGTCTTTTTGAAGATGATTTGCAGTAAAAGATATTTTGTAATTGTAAAGTTTAAGATGACTTGTTCTGGTTAGATTTATACGAGAATCATTGGACATACATTGTATCAAAGCTCATTAGGGTACTGCAGATTGTTTCTGATGATAATATGACTATAGTCTTGCTTTTGTGTGACAACAGAGTAAGCACAGAACTCCCCCATCAACCATGGTGTGAAAGTATTACATGATAATTATACAGGGATGTCACTATGAGCTGATTGCAGGGTAGTAATGTAAACGGCATTTTATTTAACTATGGAATGCCAAATATTGTGCACGATCTTTTTTTAAAAATTTATATGTACTACTTTCAGGGGAGGGAGCTTTTTGTTAACATGCTTCTGAATTAAAATCCTCAATGTTGATCACAGTACAGCGGCAACATTAAAATTATACAAACATGACCTAAACAGTTTAAAATCAATTTGACCAGAATTGTAAATCTGAACAAATGGAAATATATGTTCTGCTCTCAAAAGTTGCAGTGTTTTCACACTATTTTTTGTGGGTAATATATAGACATCAGACATGCACATGATTATTCTTTAAAACTGAAGATAGACCTAACTTTAAAAACATGCAGCTCCATTTTAGACAGCCTGATCTTTTTGATGTGAATGCTTCCCGATCACCCCCACTACATTAGTGTGATTCACTACAGGCCCATTTTGAGACTCTGGGTTACTGACTTTACCTAGTATTTTGGGGTCAGTGAGTTCTTTGCTCTTTTTGGAAAGAAATATAACATTTAAAAAAGTCTTAGTCCCATTTGAGAACATGCTTTTGTTTGGAAGACAATCACCTAAGCTACAAATAATGAGAGAAACCCACATTCACCAGCGTAACAACGGCTTCTGATCTGCCTCTTAAGTGGCTATAAATGTGTGATGCTCTGTAGATCTTATGTTTGAATGTAATGAAATTGTATTACGCTTTAAGCTACCCATCATTCAGTTATTTTTATTTGGCTTTGACAATTTCTTGTGGATTTTCTGGCAACATTAATTTTGTTGCTGACGATTTGGGTTTCTTTGCCTAATTTTTCCATACTGCTTTTTGGACCTGTGGTGCATGATAAATATTTTCTTTTGGCATGATTGTAATTGTAATGGCTTTTCTTTGGCAACATTTTGAGCTATCAGATCTACCATACTCGTACTCAACTCAACCAGCTGCGTTATCCCGTTTGTTGCCAGTGTGAAACTGATATCCCATTTTAATACTGTAAAATAGAATACATTCTGTCATTGATTTCTGAGCCTTTAATTGAAAAGATGCTTTGTTTTGCTAGGGCTTGTGTTTCTAAATGGTGGATTTACATTTGATCAAATGCCAAATAAATTGCACCATAAAGGATGACCACTGCGTCACTGGACATTGCACTTTGTGTTGTGGTGACATTTAGCTTCTCTGACTTGTGGAGGGAAATCCTGCCAGCAAATGTCAGGGATATTAAGGTCCGATACGGGAAAGTCCCACAGGTTACAGGCTGTTGGATAAATCTACTTTAACCTAAAGACTCAAATTATTTGAAGTAAGGAGATATAGAGCATCACGCTGTGACTGGAGACAGCGATAGCCAAATGCAGTACAGAGAGTATAGAAAGGGCCCTTTGTTCACAGGCAGGAGTGAACCAATCATAAAACCTGCTCCTGGATGAGAGTGGAGTGACGCTTTAGGACTTTAATATAATAACGTCAATTCTGTTTTGAATAGTGGTAGTGATACTTATTATTTTTTATAGGCCTACATCATTTTTCACATGTATATATTTTTACACTCATTATTTGGGTGTTTTTAATAATAAGAACAATGAAAAGCTTCTTTTATAATCATTTCAACTCTTGATGTTGATAATTTGTTTAAAAATTGCTACAGCCTATTTTCTTCCCAGTTGAATCTGTACCCAACTCCATCCCAATTAATAACCTATTACTTTTGAATCAGATTTGCATGTAATGGAACAATGTGTAAAACTATACATTAGCAGGTGTTTAAGTTTCTTATTTTCAATTTTCAGGAAAAAAAACAACAACTTGTAATTAACAGAGACATAACATAAATAGATGATGACAATTTTCTGGTGTCCTTAGAACAAGCAGCACATCCCCAGAGCTTTCTCATGGGATGAATGGTTCTTGTTACTAGTCATTGGACATCGTGCTGCAGCGGGGTGTGGGGGTGGGGGGTACACTGGAGCTGTTCTTGCATCAATGAGCCTGTTGATCACTTAAGACCACTGGTAATGACATGGTTCAGCGATCAGACCCAGACCAAATAAAACCTGGATTTTACCTGCTCTCCTATTTAAGTTCATCCATCCCACTTATGCACCGGTCTACCTCATGCCTTTAAACTTGTTCGGAATTGCAAGGATGACGATTTGGACTGCTGTTTTCCTCATGGTTATTCTTTCATATATTGAAGCAGGTGAGATTCGTGGTGTTGTTCGTATGTAATGACTTTTAACTTAATAATCATTAAAATAGTGACAATGTTATTTATCTCTTTCAGATGACTATTGCTACAATGAGCCATACTGTGGTAAGCAAACGTGATACAGTATGGCTGTACTTTAATATACGTCTATCTTGCAAAGTTTTGGAGTGTTGTTTTCTTTGAGACATTTTTATGACCAACTAAAAGACTTGCACTGTAGAGGTTGTTCAGTTACAATGGAGATAATATGCAAATGAGTTCCCACTTAATACAATTGTCCCTTGTTCGATTTCACTTCACTTATGTGATGTGACAAACATTAATTTGTTTACATAATGTGTGATATTATGAATGTGTTTACATACAAGGTGATGTGATATTAATAAGTGGATTGTTGTGTTTCCATAGATCCTTACGCGTGGGGGGACTTTTTTCACTCCTGTCACCCGTTACTTGAAGAGCATCACTCCCCTATTGACCTGGATCTCCACATGAGCCGGAACACCTCTCTGGACGCCCTGCAGCTGGAGGGCTTTGAGGAGGTGCAAGGAGGACACTGGACACTTGAAAATGACGGTCATTCCGGTAAGCATACATGTTAATGGAGAAGGCTGTTAAAGGACCCATATTATACTGTTTTATGATCTATGTTGTAATTTTGTTTCCTCATCACAAATATGCTTGGAGTTGTGTGTTGTTTTATTCACACATGTTTAACACACAAACCCTGCATATGTATGCTATGTTCTTCTTTGGATAATTTCAGCCTTAGAATTGGCAATCTCTACAGAAATATAGGTAAAAGGAGCTATTCACTTGAAAACTACTGCTTCATGACATCATAAAGTGGAATAGAGAATTGTGTGCTTTGGGGATGTAGACAAACTAATAATAAAGGATTACTCAGACTTGTGAGAATTAAATAAAACTCTGGGTATGTTTTTGATTTTGAATCTGTATGTAAATCTAACATGTATTTAAGTTACCTAGAGGAAGTACAAACTTCTAAAACTTAATATTAGTCTGTCACCTGCACTACAATACTACTACTCATGCTTCTACTACTGTACCACTATTTAAACAAAAAGAGGGACTTTAGCGACTTTAACCTGATTATTCCAGTTAGGAATAATATCTTGAGGCATGGACAATAGTAATAGTAAAGAGGATGTGAATGGATGAGGTGGCATGCTGGTTCAGCATGCTGAGATGGGCATTTTTGTGTATTATAGTAAATACAGACACATAACATTGTTGTACACTGAGTACAGGATCAGCACAGGCTCTGTCTACAAACAATTAGATTTTTACCCACCAAATTAAACTTGCTGCCTTATAGAGAAATTTAATTTATGTGCAGTGCCAGCCCCACTCTGCCAGCTCAGCCCTTGTTTTTTTCCTACATCAAGTATAATATTCCCTACAACAGAATGGACAATACTACCACAAGTTGTCTGTGTCCTGGGTCCCTTACTGATTCTTCTCCTCCGTTCGAACCCCAGGCTTATGTCGCTTTTTTCTCTGGCTGCTTCAGTTTATTACACAACACTGCCTATGTACATTTTGGTATCTCTGATCATATTTACCCACCGCTTGCAAGTCTGGTAAATCATCAATCTTTTGCTGTACTGTTGTTTTTATGTCCATTGCATCTCTCCATTGCAGTGGTGCTGTTAGTGGGTAGTGGGATGTCAGTGAGTGGGGGCGGTCTTCCTGGTCTGTACCATACTCTTCAGCTGCACTTCCATTGGGGCAGCCCAGCCACCAACGGCTCTGAGCACACACTGGACTCCCGCAGATACCCTATGGAGGTACAGTAGGGTCAGTAGACAGAGCTGTGCCCACATATAGAGTAACTGCTTTGGGCCTGCTCACTCTGCTCTGCTCTCACACTCAGATGCACATTGTCAGCATGAAGTCTATCCACCCAAATGTGTCTGCAGCTCTAGACGACCCCACGGGGCTTGCCGTCCTGGGATTCTTCATTGATGTCAGTACCTACACACATGTTATAGTTATTGTATTAAGTTTAACAGCCATAACACTTTCATAATGTCTAATTTTACCTAAGTTTATTTGGGTGGGTCTGGTTAGCACTTCGATGAGAGACCTCTGACAGGTGCCACAGTGAGGAAACAGTGGCTCTAGTCTAGTGCATACTGTTGTGTCCTTAAGCAAGACGCTTTGCTTTATTTTCACTTTCTCTCACCTTGGCAGTCTAATGTAAGGCACTATAGAGTATGAATGAAATCCACTAAGACCAATTAATTAGCATAATTATTAATATGCACTAAAGTTGATCCTAGTTGTTCAATAATGTAGATATTCTCATAGATAAGTATTCAGTCTGCCTTATCATTATTGTGCCCTCATTAGAAAATATTTTTTTCTAATGTGTTTTAAGTGGGTATGTCTATAAATATAGTGGCATTGGTTGTAGATGAACTAGATTTGCAGCACCAAAGTAATGCACCCATTACTTTATGCAGCATAAGATGAATGACTAATCTTTAACATAGAATAGTGTTCCAATATATGGACAAAAGCATTCCCCTGCAATGGAAGCCATCTTTTAAATAAATGACAAACAATAAATTATGTTGAAAATATTGCCAATTCGTAATGTAGCTTTCCTTTGTTCCAGGTGGTGTATGCGGACAATGTGCATTTCAACTACATATCACAAAAGCTTTCCACTGTAGCACACAAAGGTAAGAATTTGTCCGACATTCACAGTTCAGTGGAAGTGTGTAGATGCACTGTTTATGTTTTCATTGTTTCCAAAAGGACAAGTGTCTAAAATAAAGCCCTTTGCGCTGATGAGCCTTCTGCCAAAGCACAACCTATCTCAGTACTACAGATATCACGGCAGTTTGACCACTCCCCCATGCTCCCAGGCTGTTGTCTGGACAGTGTATGAGGTCCCCATCTACATCTCATGGACTCAGGTAAGTTAGCATAAAGCACATCCATGTCCTCCAGTAGACACAACGTTATGGAAAGATGTGCACAGTTAAGTTCCCAGGCAGATTAAAAGTGCACTGTGTAACATCTGTGACGCTCCCATTTGGCCCAATCAGGCCAAGTTACAGGTCATATCTGTGGAGAGGCGAGTAAGAATACATGTTGTTATGGCATTTTCAGCTATAAAAAGCACCTGTAATTGATTAAATGCAAAATAGATAGGCTTAATGCCATACCATTGAACACTATGGGCAGAGCAATAACATCTAACATCTAATAACAACCAAGGAGGTAGCTGACATAGTGCCTCTGTTTGCAGCTTGCCCAGTTCACGTCCCAGATTTTCTCCACAGAGGAAGACGCAGAGCAAGTCACGCCTCTTCAGAACAACTACAGACACATCCACCCCAAATTCAGCCGCGTGGTCTCTGCATCCAGGGATGCACGGGTCCTCCTAGCGACCGCAGGACGCCCTGTCAGCCCCTCTGTGGTACTGGGGCTCTTTCATGTGTGTTTATTAGGGCTCCTCACTCTGGTACCTTAGAACAACACAAAAATACTGGAGATGTAACTCTAATCTGAACACTGTGATGTATTTTGTCATCATAAGGTTAGAAAGATGAAAATAGGTGCCTTACATGACTTGAACATTGTATTTGATAATGACTTATTGCATGTGTATTCATTCATTCATTCTACATATTTTTACTATCTGTACAAACCATAGCACATTGAGCTGAATGGGCCATTTAGAAGTATTTTGCCAGTTTGACATCCATAAACTCACTACAACTAGAAACCTTGCCTTGAAGATCATTTGACTGTACAAAAAGAAACATTTGGATTTCTGGGTCCATCTCAATGTGAAGGACATTCTTGGTAACCCTCAGATGAACTGGAGCCTGTTGTCTTTGTCTGTGATCACAAGCCATCCTCTGCCTGTCACCACCACACACACGCACACACGCACGCATGCACAGAAGACTTCTACCCAGACCCCCCTGACGTAGATTTTTGAGAGTTCCAGCTGGAACAGTCACAATAACCAGTGTTTGTTGACTGCATTTTATTCAAATGTATTATCTAATCTTATTACATTAAGTTCACTTTCAGAACCGTCATGTGACTCATGAGCTTTTTAGTATGAACTCCACACAACACTCAGTCAGAAGAATTTTAAGTCACACAAGAAAAATTCTTTGTACAAGTTATTTGAACATCGTGTGGCTTATTAGCATTGAGGACACAACTGTTGATGGATGTATTCAAAATTGCTTTATTTTCTTTTCATACATTTTGTTATTAGTTGTAATAAATAGACATGAGAACAGGCAATGTGTGGTTCCTCTTCTCATGCCAATTCTGCATCTTTTGCTTATTTAAACTTCACACTGCAAACAAATGTTCATAGAATTTACAACTGAAAATAAAAAACAAAGCTTGACACAAGCTGAATTTCCTGCTACCAGCTCTTTTGCGCACCTCATTATGTTACAAAGATCAGAGCTGTTCCTTGTAGCATTTACCAAAAACAAAAATATATATATTTATATCATATTCACAGTTACAGTATTTACATGTTAGAATTACAGAGCAAATTGGCAGAAAAATGAAGACGTTTCTACAAGAAACAATCTCTCAAAGGGAAGTGGAGGCTCCGTCCTGTACACCATTTGAAACTCTCAAGATTCCTTTCACAGTTCCCTGAAAATATTTTAAATACGCAGTCTTGTCTTTTAAAAAAAGAGGAGGCTTAAAAATTCTGAATCCTAGGAAGATAAAAAACATTTATATCTTCTATACAAGTCATATACACAATATAAACATGGGAAAAGGCAAAGCCAATGTTGAGCAGTGACTGACTTGGTCTAAGGAGGGTTAGTTCAATGCAAAGCACAGAAGTGCATTCAAAAGCTCTTCATAATGAGCTCAGGGAAACCGCTGCGCAGAAACATAGAGGTGCTGCAGTGAGAACTAAGGACATGGACCAAACACGCAGTACATGTTAATACTCACACAACCTACATTTTATATGGCACATAAATAAGTACTTTCTCCATTAGGTCTGTTTTACAGTAATTTAGAATGCTGCCTTATAGAAGTCAAAATTAGGTAATTCAATCTTCACATTAATTATCCACATGATTGGCCTTGTACACTGTGGCCTGAGGGGGGCAGTGCACTCACATTCAGGTCATAAATACTCTCATTCACACGCTTTCAAACAAAGCCACAGAAACAAGCATGATATTGCCAAAACATAATTAGAAAATACTGGAATAGCTTTAACACAACGTGTTGCTCGTCTTTTTTGCATAAACTATTTGGGAAGCTGCATGATTCACTGTTAGCTGGTGACAACATGATATCCAAAGAATCCAAATTTTAGTGGCAGGACAGGAGGATTGCATTACTTGATTTTTATAAGAGGTAGAAGAGACAGGATAAAATTCCATAATGGACATCAAAACTTCACTGTCCAAGAATGAGCTTCTAACAGATCGCCACCACAGAGTAGATATTTTCTTGCCGGTTTGTGCATCTCAACTCTATTAAAAAGCTAAAGATGGGTCTTTGTACCACATGGTGAAGATAAAGCTCGATAAATGGAAAGGCAGAAAGGGACAAATCTGGAAGGAACCATGCTTGAATACTGGATGTAATGATGCTGAGTGAGGGGATGTTGAGCTTTTTGTAAATTATGGGTAAAAGGTAATATATTATATAAACTATGCATTTCAAGAGCACCATAAATTGTAAACACTGAGGAGTTTAATGGGTGAAGAAAGCCAGACAGGCACATACCATGTCCAGTCAAGTTCTCACCACTCCTCAAAAACTCCTCTGTAGAAGTTCAGGACAGTGCCTTAATGTCAGGGGCAGTGTCGAGGCTGTTAGACTTAATTCAGTGTTCCCCGACAGTTCTCCGCACCGCACAAACAGGGAATCTTTTCATCCTCAATGGGGAACTTGTAGTCGTATGTGATCTCCTCATTGACGTTAATTGGCTGTCTGGAGTAAATCACAATCTTCTTTTGAGACTCCACTGTGATGACCTTCGCATAACAGTTCGGCTGAAAGAAAAGATCATAGTTAAAAAGGCACTTGCAATGCACCAACAATGGTCAGAGAAAGGTAAAACAGTTGCTTACATTACAGCTGTGGTTGATAAAGCGGGCAAAGTTGCCACACTTGGTTGCATCTATAATTGTATCATGATCAACACGAAACATATAGCTGCTACCAATTCCCTCCTCTTCATAGCGCTTCTCTCGCATATCAGCAATGACCTAAACAGGAGAAATTGTACTCATAAAAACATACAGAAATCTTAAAAGTGAGCATCACATAAAATGGAATAAGGCTTTCTCACCTGTCGGATATTTTGTCCAACATATTCGATAACCATTTCATCAGCAGCAATAGGCTCCAAAGCGAACAGACCCCAGTCATGGATGTGCGACTTACAAAATCGAATCTTTTTCTTACGGAACTGAAAATCACAAAATTAGGCTTTAGGTTTGATTCTAAAAGTGAATACATAAAACATAACTATAAAAGCTATATTAATCTGTAACAACTAATAATCTAACAAATGTAAACTTTAAGCAAATACAAATATGGATTCACCTTGAGCTGGTTGAACTTGAGTAAGTCACTGTCGCAGGCAAAAGAGGACAACAAACGCCGCTGCTCTGATCGCCGCTCCGAGCCCGCTCTGGTAGAGGCATGGACCTGAGCAGGAATACTCATCCCCTTAAAATAAATTTAAAAAAAAAGTTAATTCTAAAACAATGGTTCTCATTGACAGATTATCCACAACCTATCTATATCTATATCTTTTTACCTGTGTATCAACTGGAACCTCCTCTGACTGAAGACGTGTACTTTGAAGGTATTTGATCTTGTCTTTTTTGTCGATTTTATAGTATCCTTCACTTCGTGCACAGCCAGTCATGTGATCCCTCATACCATCATCTCTGCGCTTTTTCTTCACTCCAGGGATGTTAGTAGGTGCAAAGGAGTCAAGGAAAATCTCACAAATCTGACAGTCAAATCTGAAAACAGCTTTATATACAGTACATACTCCTACCACCAGAGGGAGCTTTTAGAGTATTTGCAGCAAAATGAACAGGGTAGCCACTGTATATACTGTATACTGTATATATTAACATTTTCAGTCTATGGGTAGCCATCACAGTACATTGTGAGTCAAACAAGTCATAAGAACTACCTTAATAACAGCGTGGAGCAGCTTTAAAGGATATTAGGATGGTTGACCCACAGGGTGTCATTCAGCCAGTCGTTGCCGTTGTCCTGTTGCAGCATCTTCTCATAGGTGATCTTCAAAAGTCGCACATCCTCTTCATCAATTCCTTCATTCCAGATGTCATACAGGATGGTCATCTCCTCGAAATCTGACCGGGGTTTGAAGAACGTGCGAGGGGGTGTTGTGACAGGAGACAGGCTGCCCAGCAGCAGCTCCTCCCAGCCCCTGCGCGCCCTTCGAGTGGGCTTCACTATGCGCTCCTCATCATCATACGACACAAATCCATCTTCAGGAGGTATGACCATTTGAGGTTCCACCTCGTCTTCCCTAAAGTCCAGAGTGGTGCGTTCAGGGGACTTACTGGACAGATATGTCTCCTGAAGGACAGACTCTGGGATGACCTTAAGAGACTCTTCTGCTTCAGAGGCCATTGGGGTCTTCCTGGCTTTGACTCTTGCAGCCTTCTTCTTGGATGATGCAGAGTCAGATGGAATAGGAACATCCAGTGACAGAGATGCAGAGAGATCCTCACAAACAGAGGAGGTCTGATTTGGCAGAGCACTGACAGGCGGCTCTTTGAACACAGGACCATCATCAATGCTGGCAGAGGATGTTTTCCTGTTGAGGCTTAGTGCTGTGGGGTCAGGGAACACAGGGGTGAAGGTTAAATCTCTTCCTGGTGTTCGGGGTACACCAGCACTAAGAACAGGAGACTGAGCAGGGTAGGAGAAAGGACTACCAGGAATATGAGGGGAGCTAAGCAGCAGACCGCTGCCGGTCAGCGGAGCGTCACCTCCAGGCGTGATGGGCACCGTGTCGGTGCTCTGGGACTTGCCCAGACTCCGAGCTCGCTCCAACAGGTCCCTGCCTGGTGTACGCGGAGTATCCTCGTCTGTAGGGAGCCGAGGCCGCTGGGGGAGGTCCGGCAGTGAAGCAGGGGGCGGGTGAAGGAGGGAGCGCCCCTCCAGAGAGGGGTGAGGAGGAAGAGGGAGGTGCATTAAAGATGCTAGGGGTTTCGGGGCAGAGGAGTTTGACTCTACAGATGTTAGTTGAGCATCAGTGCAGGCCACTTCCTCTGGTTCAGCTTTACCTTTGGGTTTTGACTTTTGGTCACTGTCCTCCACGATGCCAGTCGGAGTGGGAGGCCGAAGGTTTGCTTGAAGTTCCCGAGACCCAGACTTCAAAGTTGTAATGTCACCACTTATGTCTCGCTCGTTTTCTAAAGAGAAACATTTTCTTATCTTTTACCATTAATTATTATCAACTGAAGCCATCAATACAGAATATAAGAAAAAGACAGGACTCACTGACATGATTTAGATATTTACCTGGGGCAGGTGATGGAGGTCTGACTTTCTCCTCTGGCTCTTCCATGGGACTGGGTGGTCTGCATCTGGTCTTGGCTGTGACCTCCTCTTTACTTTTGTGGTCTTGCCTGTCCTCTGAGAGATGTCCCAAAGGAGAGCTTGCTGCCTCTTTTGTCTCGCTCTCATCATCAGAAGAGGTTGACGATGAAGAGGAGGATGAAGAAGTCTTTCTACTGCCGTCCTCGACCTCACTTCCTTTATCCTCTTCCTCCTCACTTTCTTCTTCCTCAGAGCTCACCTCATATTCAGAAGAGTCAGAGCTGTCTGACCCAGAGTCTGAGCTGGCTTTAGACATGACGGATTGCCCCTCTTCTGTGAGATGTAAAGAAATCATCAGTTATCTTGAGATAGATAGGTGTTTAGGGCAAGGATAGATTTTTTATACATTTAGATTAAAAAAACAACATACGTCATGGAGACAATGTTTAAATGAGGAATAAATGCGGTGATGATGTCATTACATTTTCCACTTCTATATATTTGATAATCGTAATAATCATTTATAATTATAAATCCAAGCCTGAAAAAAGGTTTACACTACACAATACATTTTAAAAATAAAAATACAGTTACACATAAAATAAATGATGAACTGTTGGGGTTATAAAATACTGTTTGGAGAGATGTTGAGCTTTACATTACTAAGCAGTAACTATCAATTGTTTAAACAAGACTACGTGTTCTAGTACAAAAATGTATTTGTTCATTCAAAATATTTATTTCATAATTCCTAATTTTTATTATTTTCTATGCATTTTTTACCTTCATCAGATGAATCTGAGGATGTGCCCTCAGTTGATGACTCTCGCTCCTGCTCTTCATCACTCTCATCTTCACTCTCCTGACAAAGACAATAGCCAGCACATCAGCACCACATCAGTACTACAGTGGAAGACAGACATGATATTGAGAGGTCCTACTTTATTTGAAGAGGCCTGCTTGGCCTCAGTTTCTTCTGGCTCCTCCTCCCGATCAGACAGAGACTCCTCCTTCTCCGAGGTGTCTGCCTCCTCTCCTTCACTGTCCAGTTCAAGAGGTCGAGAATGCCGTCGCTTTGCTGCTGTGCTGTCCCCATCCATTTTAGACTCATCAGTGGGTTTACTTTCATCCTCAAGCTCATCGTCCACTGGAGTGGAGGGTCGTGCGCGTTTGCTTTCACTTGCTGCAGCAGCGTCAGGAGGACCTTTTCTTTTCACCTGAAATCACAACACTGATGTTAAGAACCTTGTTTTGGTTTTATATCTGAATGCAGATACAGATACTGGTATCGAATATCAGCGTAGATAAGTGAAACATTTTCTGGAGCGGGTATCTGCTTTAAAATATCGGTTGAGCCAATATCCTATTAGGTGTTTAATTTAATGTAATATGACTTGTAACAGGCTGATTTAGTCCGAGAACATCTCATAATGTTTGAAGTTTTATTCATATAAAAAGGTATCAGTTAATATCTTATATAGGCAGATGCTTAAAGTCTAAGTATCGTATCGGAACAAACAAGTGGATCAGTGCATCTCTGGCTGATACTTATGGAGCTTACCTTGAAGGATGGCAAACGGATAGCTCCTCGCAGACCAATGCTCAGGCCCATCCCTTCGTAACCTAAAGCTTCACCCTTGTTCCAGTTTTCCAACAGACTGGAACCCATTGTCTCTTTAGGTTTAGGCTTGGTTTCTTCTTCTTTACCTTCTGCTCCTTTCACTGGTGTCAACGATGCCTGTATAAGAATATTTATAGTATTTATTAGTATATAGTAGCAGGAGTAAACACTACAACACTATCAATTTACCTTAGCTGAGCGCTCCTTCTTATCCCACCATTCGTCAAAAGCTCTGAAGGCCACCACCTCTACCATTTTGCGATTAAGGTCCCTTTTCATGATGGCCTTAAGTTCTTTGACTATGACTAGCAACACTCCATCCACAGTAGCTTTGTGAGGATCATCCTTTTGGGAATCATATCCAGGAGGAGGAACTGTTGGATTAAACTTTGGTACGCTAGCATGCTGCCATGGTTGCCCATGTGTGCCTGCTCCACTCATTGGGGATGCACTCATGGACAAAGGGGGGTATGGACCTCCAAAGGAGCTGTCCATGTAGTGTGGGTAGGAATATGGCCCTCTTGTTTGAGCCATGCGACTCAGAACCTGCTGCTGCATCTGAAAAGACATGGGGACAGTGCTCCATTGCTCCCATCTTAAACAGTTCATGAGCTCCATCTGCATGAGAGGAACCATGCCGTGGGGGTAAGGACCCATGTGAGGCAGCATATGGTGGGGAACTCCATGAGGGTCAGTCAGATGTGGGTGTCCAGGGACACCAGAATGTGGTCCGTAGTGGTGGTGTGGGATGGGGTAGCCTGTCTGGTGCAGAGGAGGGAAGCCGGGAGGATGCAGGGCCAGTGTCTGCATTGGCGACATAGCAGAGTTCACCACAATGCCTTTGCCACAGTCCCCACTGGTGATGGGTGTATTGGGCATCTCATCGTCAGAGATTTCCATATCTTCTCCCGACGAATGATGGCTCTAAGAAAAAAAGAATAGTCAGAATATTGGATGTCAGTTGAGAAGACTGATTTACACACTATTTATAAACAAACAACCTCTTCTGAGCTCAGAAGCTAAGCAGAGTTTGGCCTGTGTAAAATGTGTTTGTGTCCTTAGACAAGACACTTGTCACCCATTTTGCTTATGAATGCGGTAAGTGGGTGATTGATTTGTCCTGGTCAGATTGACTGATGGCACAGATTGACAAAAGCGAGGCTGACAATCTACCCCAGGCAGTTAAGGTTATAATACTAGCTTACCTCTGCCAAGTATGAAATAAATGAAGAATGCATGAAGCTGTAAAGTGATTGTGTTTTGAAAAGTGCTAAGACTTTTGTATTGTTATTATCAGGCCTGGGCTCGAAAAGGTAGCAAAAGGCTCATCATTTATATATTAATTCTTATTATCATTATATACTTAAACAAAAAGCACATGTGATACACTTTAAAGAGACATCCAAATGTTTTTTTAAACAAACCTGTAAAACAGTTAAATTATGTTTCCCCATTAGATAAGGCTATTTATTTTTAATGATTGACAACCACAAGCTTTTTGTCTGACCTTGTTTTAAATCCCCATCATTATTAACGGTAGTAAAGAAAAGAAAGTACAACAAGCACAGTAAAAATGAATGGGAGTGGTGTTGTTATCCAAATGACCTGTTTGCACTGTTTGCTTTGTGGTACGTTGAAATGTGAGACAAGAGGCACTTTGACCAATCCTGGCAGTGAAGCTTGTAAAACCAGGAAGTGTGGGTAAACAGCCAAACTACGCTTTCCTATGTATATGTGCTTTCAGAAGAGGAACAAAACATTTTAATTTAGCTAGAGCAGATAGATGCTGTGTAAATCAAGCCATCTTAAATATTAGATACTTTATTTGCATTCAAACATCCACATATTTCTGTATTAAATGTTTCATGGAATCGACTATCTGTGATAAGTATTTTTTCGATGTAACAAAGTAAGCATTTATGTCATTTACGAGTTTAAAGTTTAACTTCTCTCAAGCAAATGACTACACAAAAAGAGAAAGTCTTCTAGTACTACTTCTGAAACTAGACTCCACTTCCTGTATCTTTCAAGTGTGTAACTGCTAATACTTCACAACAAAAACAGTCAGGCTGTGTTATTGTGAGAAGCCATCACAGGAAGTATGATAATAAAAAGGGCATTTCTGTTATGTATAAGCAGTTAGCATGTTAATGATGTAGTGCAAAATGTATGAAAGATTTTAAAAGCAGTTTTCCTACCATGTCCATTTTATCTGTAGGAGTGTGGCCTCGATAATGTCCATCTTTGTAGTCACTTTTGCTCCTCTTGTCCCGTATGGGTGAGCTGATTCTCCTCAGGAGGGATGCAGTTGAAGGGATGGGCTCATCATCATCAGAGTCCGGCAGTGGAGTTGGACTGATGTCCTCCAAACCGGTGCTACAAGGCCGAGAGTTCTGTTGGCCACCCTGAGAGCTGCCTGTGAAGGGGGGAATAGGGGATAGCTGAGAGGATGACGATGAAATGGGACTTCCTTCCATCCGAACCTCTGTGTCAGAGTCTCGTTCTGCTAGGAACGGCAGTTTTGTCCTTTTTTCCTTTAGAAGCATCTCAATCCTGGAATCCAGACTATTTCGTTCAGAATCCATGTTTGGGGAGCCAGGAGAGGGGCAGCGTTCTGGGGTTTGGGGAGGTGGGGTAGTTGGTTGTGCAACAGGTTCAGGTGGGGGCTCAGGTATAGGGGGAGTTTCTGGCCGATCTTTGACTGTCACAAAGTCGGAAGGAGCTTCCGGAGGTGGCTGAGGTGGTCTAAGATACTCAGTCTCTCTCTGGACTGGGTGATGGAAAGGCTCAGAAGGAGGGAAAGCCGGGGGCAGAGGGGTCTGGTAGGGGGAAAAGGCTGACTTGAAGCTGGGTGTAGGTGGGGTAGGAGTTGTATAGCTGTATGATGGGGTTGATGGTGGGGGCTCAGGTGGAGTGACCTGCTGCTGCTTGTAAGGGGCTTGTTCTGATGATGAACTCCGGTACATGTTGCTTCGATACTGAGGTCTCTCTGGACGACGATTGTAGGCATCCTGAAACTTGCTCTCGTGTCTGCGGGATTTGTAGCCTGCTGAGCTCTCAGCCCGGTTGGGTTGATATGCAGGTGTGGACTGTCGAGAGGAGTAGTTGGAGTCTTGAGAAAAGGGTGTACTGGTCTGGCGAGGGGTGTGAGGTGTTCCCTGGGACTGTGGTGTGTCCTGCCTTAGGCTGGAGTATCCCGCCTCTGATGACAGAGGAGTTGTGGAGTTGCTGGGTGGTACTGCTCCTCCAGTAGCGTTGCTTTCAGACAACCTCCGAATGGGCTCACAAGCCTTAAAGACAAAGACAACACATGGCCAAACATTTTTTTGTGATTCTTTGTCTTCTTTCGTCACAAAAAGGAAAAGGACAAATTAAAATAAAACTCCAAATTGTGCACATCTCTGCGAGTTATCTCCTCCATATTCAGAGAGAAAGAATAATAATACTGTATTGCTTCCCACCTGCTGCATGGACAAGGTGGATCTCAAACTACATGTCAGCTCCTAAAATATTAACTTAACAACAATTGTTATTATCTAAGAGGAAACTGCTCACTCTCCAAGATGTTTAAAATGTATACATTTCACAATGTAGAAGAAATTACCAAAATGGCTTCTGCAAGGGTTCGAGGGGAGACTTTAGCCTCCTCACCACCAACAGGTAGGGTCCGTGGCGTGTAGCTGCCATTCATCAGAAGTTGAAAGTATCTGAGGCGATTCTCACCTAAAAAAATATGTATAAAAATTATGTATGAGATTCTGCACTAATAAACATGAAACAGCTAACTTTTTACAAGTAATATGTCAGTGTATTTATGTTAACAATATAAACTCAATCTATAGATAACAGATGAAAGGTGGTAAATCAATTGGTTTATCAAGATAATTTTTAATTATATACTATACACAAAACTTAACAAAGACAACCAAACATAGCAGATTACTTGTAGTACAATTAAATTTGTATACATTTGTTTAATTGTCATTAAAATGACTGACAACACATCATTTTATCTATAAATAATTTTCAGCAAATTATAAAAAGTGCTAAATATTGAAAATAACAACATTTTTATAGATTGTCCCATTTATTTATATATATATTATACATCTGACGGAAGGCAAAAGTGAGATTTATCTTGATAGTAACATGGCACATGTTATGAACATGGTATGAAAGGGGACTGGTTGTTTGTTTATAAGTCTGAAATTATGCACAGTGGGAGTATAACACAGCACCCTCTGCTCTGGGCTCATGGGAATGAGTTCAATTTGAAAGAAATTTAATTACCTAATTCCCAGGATATATACATAAAATGAAGTGATATAGTGGAATTATTGTTTACCTTTAGGATCCAGCTCCACGTGGATGATGTTTCCCATCACAGAGGTGTTGTGCAGCGACTGCACGGCCACTTTGGCTGCTTTAACGGATTCAAAAACAACTTTGGCAATTCCCAAGTGCTTCTTGTTTTTAGGATTATAAAGAATCTCAACCTCCTCAATTTCCCCAAATTTTTTGCACATGTCTGTCAGAAATCCTTCCCTTATGTTATCATTCAGTCGAGCAAATGTTACCTCCTTTGGAGGTACCCGCCCAATGTAGCAGTCATCGATCTGGAAAAAAAAATAGTTGAAAATGTAGTCACTGAGGGAATGAAGAACAGGAGACAGACAGCAATACTAGAAATACACTTGTCACACTTATTTGTGTTGATTAATTAGCTATTGCCATTAACTAGGACTTTTGTTGCTGTCATACTTAGAATTCTACATCACTAAGATGAGTGAAGGGGGTGTGTCTGCAACTTTTGACAGCCCCTTTCCCACAGGCAACAACTGGCATCAGCTTTGCCCAAGGTCATGAAAACTCTACCTTAAACTTGGGTACAGGTAAGTCGGTCTCTTTGTACTTTGTCCATAGGCGACCTATCCTTGGATCTCGAACGGTATCCACAGGAGGTAATCCGGGGTTCTATGTTAAAGAAAAAGAGGATGACACTGCTGTTATGCGTCCCAGTCAGAACTCATATCCCATGAACGTGTTATGAAGCTGATTTACAGAGTTCGGACACAGCTTTCTATTGCAATGAACTCTGTCGACACTCCGCGGGGCCATGGCACTACAGCCCCGCTGAACCCATCATGGAGGTCGGCTACTCTGTTACTATTGTAGCCGCTGTAAATGCAGTCCACTTACGGGCATGCTGAAAGTCTGCCCATCATAGCGATACAGTTTGTGGGAGCCTTTCTTCAGAGCTGGGTCAATAATCAACTTGTAACTTCTCCAGTGGTGACTCCGCTTCTCTGTCGAGCCAGAATGACTGTCCATGCCGTTCGCCAAACCTGAAACGAGAGCGACGATATCCAGCAGTAAAGCAGCGGCGCTTGACACGGTGCCGTTAGCAACACTTAGAAACAACTAAATGCAACACATGCATGTTTTTAATGTAATGGAGATTACAAGAATCACACGCTGTGGGATAGCACGCATCCCAGTTACGGAAACAGCAGAGAAGGTTTGGAGAAAGAGGGAAAAAGAACAAGCTTACTTGAACTCTGTTTTCTGCCATGGTCTTCGTTCAATCTGTTTCTCTCCCCTGGCTTGGACATGATTCGTCCAATAGAGCGCTATCTCTTTATTTGACGAAAAGACAAAAATGCTTTCCTTTCGCCGCTTACATTACATGGTTTAGCTTGAAGAATACTGCCTCCTTTTAGGCGAGAGCCAACACATATTGTGCCTCTGGTCTGTAGCTTCTGTCTCTCCCACAATACACCACTAGGCTTATCCTCCTGATACGCCAGTCGCACTTTCGCTACAAACAGTTTCGTTGCTTTTTGGTGGTTGATGCTGCGACTGCAGCGTAAAATGCCAGAGAACCTGAAACGTATTAAATATTTATTCATTGAAATTAATTTTCTGGAACTTTGTGCTAATTCTCGTCGATGTTTGTGTGGAGAATCTGCTTTCTGGATTAACCAATACACAGCAAGTAGCGTAATATTTGGTTAAATACGTGTATTTTTCGATACGCACGTTTACAAAACGACATGAAGATAATCGTGACAACCACGGATGAGGAAAGTCAGTGGCTTCTACTTAATACAAGAAGAAGAAGCAGGCAGCCACTTCAATGTTGTGAGGATGGTTCAACATAGGCTTTTTAAGATTGTATGTACGCTAACATAATGTTTTATGATGTTTCCCTGATCGGGTTGTTTTCTTACTTAGATCTCCTATTATATCGCCTAGATTATGTTCATAGTTTAGACTACGTGTAACAACGTAGATTTGGTAACATCTTCCCATTAACAAGGACATATGTCTTGCTCTGTAGACTATCTTAGCACACGTGAGAAGCCTTGTAATGTCATTTTTACGTTGAAGTGATTTCTTTGTCAAATTAAAGTAGGTTTTGTTTGACATGTCTGGTAGGCTTTGCACAGTACTCGGGCAATTGGCTGGTTAATAGAGGCAGTGCGGCTGGCCAATCAGAAAGCAGCAGCAGAGGAGCTGACTGCTATTAGAGGCACAACTCAGAAGTCCTTCAACAGAGAGCAGAGAGAGGGGGCAGAACGCTCTCGGCAGCCATTTTCCTGAAACAGGACTCATGGCCTATATGGGTTTCCTTTGTTCCTAAAGGGATCTTACATTTGACCTTCCTTGGACTATGATAAAACTATGATTCCTCCCTTTAAAGGATTGAGAAGAAGGAAGATAGCCTAATGTAATGGACATTTTGAACATTTTTCCTCTTCTTGGAATCCATCTTTGTCTTAACTAGGTCATGGCACACCCATAGCCTATAAAAGTATTTCTTCTTCTTAAGTGAACATATAAAAGTGTTAAATAAACTACTTTATTCTTTTAGGAATCATTATTTCTTAAGTGAACACAAAGTAGGCCTAAACAAAATATGTGGAGGATTGTTGGCATTTGTGGCCTTGTAGAATAGAGATGCAATAAGTAAGTCATTTTTTATTCTTAATAATGTATGAAATTTAAAGTATATAAAGCATGCTTTTGTGAAATGTATTTCTCTGTAGAACATTAGTCAAATTAACGAAATTAAACTTGTCTGTGCTCTCTAGTCTGAATAGTCCTTCTGGGTTTTAGGGCAGGTTATAAAAATACAGTGTGCTGTTATTTTTATGTGGGTTTGCTTTAAGGGCCTAAATAACATTTACACTGTTCTCTCAACAACAGGGCTTCAGCAGTATTACTCTTCCCTTGAGTGAGAAGACAGCCGATACAGGCTGCCCTAAGTGTAGGCTGGCTGCAGACCACTTCAAAACCAAAGCCTTCAAAAAGGTAGTCTTTTGTAAGTAGTCGCATGGCTGTCCCCAAAACGCTATTCCAGTGTTTTAGAGAGTTTTTGCACTCCCAGTTTGACTTCACTTGGACTGAAGTCTGATCCTCCACATGAAACATTGCCTACCTCTGCTTTTTGAAGCACTATACTCTGGAGGCCTAAACGCAGGCACAGGAACATTTGCAGCTTCATCTTCCTTTTGATAAAGGGTTGGATGATATCGCCTGGAAAAACAAGAAATCCATTAGCACAAGAGATATGAATCTGAAAAAACAAAACAACTTCGACTGGTGGCAGTCTGGGACTATGCTTCTTTCCAAGTCTCATCTAACTGAGCAATATACCAACCACATCTGCTTGAGGACAAGATTACAGACAAGCAGGCTTTGACTGTTAACATTTCTTCCATTTACATTAACAGCATATAATTAAATGGAAAGGTAGGCCTAATTATTTACTACCTTATTGTCTTTGTTTCAGGCATGGGTTTATATAACATATGGATATGAAAGATAAGTTTAAACTATATTTCGACTGTAAAAACGTGTTCAAAAAGGTCGTGGTGGAAACTTACTCATGGTATTCAAAATAATCCCAAAGATTTAACGGCCAAAATCATTTAGAAGTGATTTCTTGTCTATTTGCCTGCATCCAAAAAACCAATGGAGGTGTACCAACCAACTATGAACATAGGTTTCCTTGATTTTCTAATTCTCAAAATGGCTACTTCAGAGACAAAGGACAGCACTGTGCTCCAAAATGTTACTGCGCCATTACTGGGTGAGGCTCGCTTCGCACTCGATGAGAATGCGCTATGGACATCTCGGGTGACTGGGTGTAGATGTGCAAGAAGGGGATGTTCGTTTTATGGGGACTTTTTGAATCAAGATTTGCTCTAATTTACATAAAGATAAAGGCATAAAAGGCGATGGGGAAACGGTGACTTGGTTCAGTGGACTTGCTTAGTTTGATTCGCCTGGCAGCTACCATAGACCGTATAAACGGCAACTCCGGGAGTAATCCGAGAGCTCTGGCCGGTTGCCATGGCAGCCATGCTGCCATATAAGGTCATCAGGAAAACGCGCTTGACAACAGCGACAGGAGCCCCTTTGTCTGACTTGCCTATATGAGAAAAAAATAATATCATGAGGCATGCTCTTTCGTGCCAAATATGGCTTTACTGTTGGCGTTATTATAGTCCAACACATGACTTGCGACTTGCAAACAAGAATACCCTAATGTAAGGGTTTTTTATTCGCTGTTGAAGTGCCTAAGGAAGGCGTATTTCTTGTGGTTCGTGAGCCTTTACATTTATATCTATCTATCCTGTGGACAGGATAGGTAGCCGACTGAAAAAACATAGTCGCACCGGTTGTGGCAGATGCCAGCCAGGCCAGTTTTTTCGGTATCTCCTGCTGACGGTCGACTATCAGGAGCGCGCATTCCTGTTAGCAGGTCACGAGGAGCGTCACGAGGCATTGAGACGGGCGCAGCTCAGCCAGTAACCCCCACTGGCGAGGTGGGAGCCGACAGACGTAAATGTTACGGCAACAATGCTTACATTTAGTAGCAAATGGTAGGGTCTTACTGGATGTTTGTATTTCATTTGATCACTTGGTTATTAATAGCCTTTGTTGAAAGGGAAAACGCCCTTTCGTACAGATCTGTCCCCGGTGGTTGGTTGCGCATTACTGGACTGTCTGGAATATTCGGCAAAGAGGATTGGCCTCCCTTGTCACAGGACAACTGTCTTTGTTCTTAAGGGAAAACATGATTCAAGCGACTTTCTATGCTGTCCTTTTTTCCTCTCCCCCTCCTATACTGACAAGCATGGATGTTTTTACAAACAAAATAATTAGACTTGGCCTAATTGCATCTAATCTGTAAACCTTTCAGCCTTTATTATTTTCAGTTGTATTTGAGATCGACCATCATTACAATCCCCCCCATTTGCTGGTACATTAAACTGTAGGCTACTGGATTTTTTACTTGTTACATGGCAGCGTCCTCGGATAATTAAGTCTTGATAAATATAGGTATGTTGTGTTCAAGTCTTATTCGCATTAGTGCTGGCTATATCCTACAGAAAATGTTTAGATCTACTATTTAAACTGTTTGCATGTCTTGTGTACGTAAGCTTTCTGTGGGCTATACTTCATAATGTCTCATACTGTATTATTACCTGTTGGCTTTTAAGCTTAAATAAATTACTTGCTTTGATTAGAGATCTAAATGGGGTTGTTTTTCATCTCTTGATTTGAAAATAGGACGTTTGATGCACATTTCATAAAACAGCATACCCAAGGTTTTCTAAAGTTACATCACTGTCTTCCCCTTTAAAGGATAGGCCTAAATATAAGTCTACATTCAATAAATGTTACATCTTAATCTTTTCCTGTTGCAGTAGTGATAACATTTAGAGTCTAAAAAGCTATACATCTTATCACTAATTTATTTATATTTTTCATATTGTTCTGATAATGTGTCTTGTTTCATTTTGGGGATGGGGGCTTCTGAGAAGGCAATTACCATTTCCTCTTTCTATCTCATAAAAGCATGGACAACAAAAACCTATCTTCCCATTAAAAAACAAAACAGTATGATTATATTATAATAATATAATTATGATGATATATCTCTATGGGTGTTTCCAAGTACCAAGTAGTTTTGTTGCATTGAATTTGTTTATAATGTTTTTGGAACAGATATGAGTCAGCTGTGGGTGGGTACATAAGAGGAAGCTCAGTTACACTTTGCAATGATGTACAAAGATGCTTTCGTTGAGCAGCGTGCCTATAGGCCAAAAGAAGAGTGTGGGGGGTCATTTTGAACATTTCCAATCTAACAGGAACAGGAAGTGGTGAGCCAACCAACTCAGATACCTGCTTAAACATGAGGCTTGTCTGTTCCTCTCATTTGACACTGACTGTTAATCATCTAAGCTTTTACAAGTATATAGTCTTCTTTGTCATGTATTTAACTTAATGCCAGGCAAAAGGAGAGTCAGTTTTTCACTGTGAGATCATCTGGAGACAAAAAAATGACCCACAATGGTAAAACTAAAGCTGATGAACTTAAAATTGTGATTGTGGGAGATGGTGGCTGTGGGAAAACATCTCTACTGATGGTGTATGCCAAAGGTGACTTTCCAGAGGTAAGACAATATAATTTAACTTGCAACTTCAAAATATGTATTTATTAGATTGACTGAGCAATCATTTATTGTTTTAAGTAATAAAAGCATGTATAAACATTTTGTAGACCTATGCTCCATCTGTTTTTGAAAAATATAACACCACTATATCTCTTGGAGGAAAGGAGATAAGGCTCAACCTGTATGACACAGCAGGTATGTACCTGTACTACACTCAGTGAGTGTTTAACTATAGCAACCTTTCAGATGTTTGGAAAAGATGTTATTGGCCTTTATATTCATGCAAGTACAGCTCCATTATATTACATTGTTTTTACTGAATATGTAGTAGGAAGCCTTGTAGAGCTTGATAGTTTATCTTGTATAGAATTGCAGCAGAGTAGTGAGTGAAAAAGTAAACTGAAAACAGGATGTGGTTTAACATACACACCACTTAAACGTATAACCACTTAAAACTGTGACATTTTATTAAAGTTTAATTGATTGTGTGGTTTATTTTATTTTATAGGGCAGGATGACTATGACAGACTACGGCCACTTGCATACCAAGAAGCCAATGTGGTCCTAGTTTGCTTTGATGTGACTAACCCCACCAGTTTTGAGAATGTTCTAATAAAGGTACGCACCAAAAGCGACGAATATGTTTTAAGTGAACTTTCAAGTTTACTTTTTAGTTTATCTGTGTGAATGGTAACTGAAGGTTGGTTTGCCATGGTGCTGCATTCCAATGATTAACTTCTCTGTGGACGTTGACCCCAATCATGCACACAGGATCCCCATTGAAAACAAGATGTCAGTATAAGTCACGTCCATCTTAACACATGCAAACCCCTTTCCCCAAACAGTGGTTTCCAGAAGTGAAGCATTTTTGTCGAGACACTCCTCTCATCCTCATTGGCTGCAAAATTGACCTCAGAAAAGATAAGGAGTGTACCAGAAAGCTGAGGGTTTTGAATCTAGCACCCATCACCTATACACAAGTGAGAAGTATTTATTATTATGTGATTATTACTTGCGTGGTTTAAGTTAAAATGCAATCATTCAAAAGGTGCTTATGTTTGCAATAGGGCGAGGAGGCCTGCAAGCAAATCAACGCTGAAGTATACCTCGAGTGTTCAGCTAAATTTCAAGAAAACGTGGAAGATATTTTCAAAGAAGCCACCAAAAGAGCGCTGACGTTTAGACGGAAACAAAGGAACTATAAGAGGAAAAGGAAATGCCTCATTTTGTGAAGTTGAGGTGGTGAAAATAATTCATTGCATTTGTGGCCCATAGTTTTTGTTAGTTTGAAATGTTTGGGTTCAGATCTGACTCTGACTCAAGGTGCAAGTCAAATTTGCAGGGGAAATATTTTAAAGGTCCTTTATTACGCAAAATTTAAAGCTTGAAAGCTTTAAGCCATGTCAGAATGTTGTTACCTCAACAAAAACATACCTGAAGTAGCGTTTTGTTTTATTCACACGCTTGAGTAATCCTTTATTACAAGTCTGTCTACATCCCCAAAGCTCAATGTTCTGCTCCACCTTGTGATGTCACGTAGTGGTAGTTTTCAAATTCACATTTTCGTCTTACCGTTTGTTAAGTAGAAATGGGCAATTCCAGAGGTGAAAAAATCAAAATGATTCTAGTTAAGGTGTATGGAGTTTAAAACAGTGGAACCTTTCCAGAATTACAACATGACATCACAAGGTTGAACAGAGTATTTACAGTTTGAGAGAAGAACTCAAGACAAAATATGCAAGTTTGTATGTTAAACGTGTGAATGAAACATAACAGACTTTTAAGACTGGAATGCAACAACAACAACGTTTTGGGTGTATATCTTTTTTCTATTTATCCGAACTCTTTTTTTTTTTTTGTCTGAAGGGTTACTACTACACTTGAACCAAGTGAGAAGCAGCAACATCTTTAACAATAGCGCCCACTAGTGTTGAATAAGATGGTGGGCGTTTGAAAAGTGGAAAAAGTTTATAAAAATCTGTAAATGCACTTAATAATAAATCTACAGCTATGCGTCTGTTTCTTTAATGTCACCTTAAGGCAATGCATCTCAGAATATTTTGATAATTAGCTGCAACTAGTAATAGCAGTTTTATGAATGTGCAGTGAACAATTCCAGGATCCTATAACAAAACTTCCAATGATGGCATTCAAATTCATATCATTGCAAAATGTCATACAAGTAAGAATGGTACATACTTGCTTCAGTGAAAGAATAATCCCATACAGTACCAAAAACAACTGATGTAGATTCAAGTTTCATCAGGAATCAATTTCACACAATTGTGCAGATTACAATGCATTTCTAACAATGACACCTATGTACCCAGTTAGCCACACATAGGCTTCAGCATTTATGTCAGTCAGTGCCTATAACAATTTCCCCCCAAAATTCAAAAGTGTAAATATTGTTCAGCAGAGAGAATAATGAAATTAAAAAGGAAGGAGTCACTCTCAGTCAGTTTCCCTGATGGTGCTAAGCAATGCTTGAGTTTTAGCACTTGACAAAAGTATTACAACAGAATTGGGTAATCGAAGGCAATTCATTTTCTGTGAGCTTGTTTAGATGCATACCATTTATAGATAATTATGCATTGAACCACATTCTTTTCCTTCAGTTCAGCTACCTGGGGGGCATTTTTTAGTGATTGACAGTGCAATACCAATATTTATTCAAAAATAAAAGCTGCTGGACAGTAACTTTGGCTTGACGCTGCAGCCATCATCAAACTGGAGTCAAACTACTGGCTTCAATCAGTCTCCAGATGAAATCATACTGTGAAGTGATTGTGCATTCTTGATTCAAAGTTACTTGTCTTGAAAGAAGGGCTGAGTTTATCCTCAGTCATTTTTCTTCACCTCCTCAGGAGATTTCTGTATTTTTTGGTGAACAACTTTTAGGGTGGTGAGGAAGTTTCCCAGGAACAGGACTAGAAATGTCAATGCCAGCATAAAAACCTAGAAACACCATTTTGTTAGGTTGACCCAAATTATTAATTTTAAAATGAAAATTAATTTCTTTCAAATTGCACACATCTTTACCTGCCACTCTTTACAGTCCTCATGTTGTGCCAAGCGAAACAAGGTCACAGAGTTGTAGAGCTGCCAAAACTGTAGAGAAGGGAAGGCATTATCTTTCATAATGTCACAGTACACTGGGCACACAACCACATTTAGACTTGTAATATTCTGCCAGATATGTGCTAAAGTCACATTTATAAGCTTTAATGTGAACTCACGTGGCCAAAGAAGAGGAATGGTAAGAGAAAAGTAAGGCCTCTCCACATCCAGGACTGGAATCCCTCTGCAGAGAAATAGAAGTGTGACCTTGAGACAAACCCTGCACACTGCTGGCCTGTGTTGTTATCCACTTATATCACAAAATGACCGGGCCTTTATGATGGTTAAAGATAACTCTAGGCTTGATTCTCAAGTTACATTACACTTAATGGTAACAACTGTTTCTCTTGCTGCCCTTTAGCCTATATTTCCCACATGGTGTTGCAGATGGCTTGAGAGTTCAACCAAAAATAGATAAACAACGTACCCACTGTGAGATCCAATTGATTTCTCTCCCCAAGAGCCCGAAGTCTGTATAAGCAGCCACTCTGGTAATAATACTGCAAGAACTGTAAAAAGCCTAAAAAGAAAGGCACAGCTGACAGTTTTTTTTAGATGTTAGGAATACATCTGCTTATATGTGTTTTGGTGAGATTTCTTGCAAGATTTTTTATAAAGACCAAATTGTATCTCTTGCAAGAATTTTGGACCTTAGTTCCAGATTTAGTGCTGTATCACAAATATATCACAATGACTTCACATATGATCATCAATATGTGCCCCATGGGTTGTTTATAACCTTAGTTCTGCATTTTCATAAGCATCTTAAAAGTTTGAAATACATTCTCACTAACTACTTTCAGATTAACCTTCACAGAAAACAATATGCCTTTATTCTGAAATTAGGAGATATGCAATCAAGTTAGGAAATTTACAGGACATTATTGGAATATTCCATAAAGACAGCATGTCCATTGTATTCAATGGCATTTAAGAATATTGCGATTCTTATTTGTTAATCTATATATGATTACTACAGGAAAAGCTTTTGAAAAAAATTATGTACCAAAAAATAGACATAGTTTAAACTTAACAAGCCGTACTGGCTTGACAAAGCCGGATCTCGTTAGATCTCAGAAGCTAAGCAGGGCTGGGCTTGGTTAGTACTTGAAAGGGAAACCACTTTCTTTATATGTCTGGCACTAACATAGATAAATACTAATTTAATCTTTTTTAATTTTAATCTTCATGATTATTTATGTTTTGATTTGTTTTTATTATGATTTTAATGTATTTCTTATTCTGTAAAGCACTTTGAATTACTTTGTGTACGAATTGTGCTATACAAATAAACTTGCCTTGCCTTGCCTAATTTAAAAAAAACAACTTACTTTGATAAATAGAGAATGCTAGAAACTGGCTTCTGAACATTTGATACATTGATCCCTCTGGCCTGCACAAAACACAAGAGTTTTAGCATCTTACATTTCGACTACTATTACAAATAAGACTCTACTCACCAAGTAAGCATGACACCTGAGAGAAAAGTGGAGACATAATGGTGAGAGACCCACCACCCTTTTATCCTAAAGTTTAAAAAAAGCAAACTGAGCACTTCACAGTAAACATTACTTAGAAAGATTTTAATTTCCACCTGTACAAACCTAGAGCCATTACTCATGAGAATGCTTTCCCTTATGGTCAAAGTGCAGTAGTACCATACAAGTAAAAAGTTGAAGATTTCATCAGTAACACTAATGAGAATGAGAAAATCAATATAAAACATTGGTACAACTTTTCTACTCAACAGTGTGTTGATAATAAACTTACCGATAATTTAAGAAAAATAGGCATGTTATGGCTCCAAACAGTAGAATTATTGTGAGATAAAGCTTGAATTTCTCATACTCATCTTTATAAGCAAATCTGTGTAAAAATGGTAGTTCTGTTATTTAATACTCTGTAAATGTCCAATTTTATGCAAATTAAAAGGTCATACTTTGCCTGATTACTGAGAAGCGTAACATTTACATTCCCTAGAACCAAATTTAGGTACAGGCTGAACAAAAAAATTAATCACAGTTAACAAAATTCCATATAAAAAAAGTAACGATAAAAAGCCAAGTCTGAGACAAAAGAACAAATCAAGATTAAAGAGTACAAACCCATTTTTCTTTGGCAAGTATGCTTCCATATCAAAAAACACATTTTCTCGGTCTTTGATTTGGGTTTGAATCTCGGTTAGGATCCTTAGGTCCTTCTCATCAGAAGTTTGAGCGGACCTGGGAACACACAAAATTATTTTCATATGCATATTATTATAACTCTTCATGAGAGAAACCAAACAAAAAGCAGTATACTGATTTGATACTATCTTTACAGACAATACAGCATCTAGCCATCTACTACTAATTACTAATAGCACTGTAGTAAAACTCTTCACTTGTTGGCATTCCATGCATACGGCCATGCTGACTGTTTCCAAGCTGCTGTTTTCAACATAACGTTACAAAAGTTGACACAAAGACAAGCCCAAACCCTTTTCTGAACCTCAACTATTATAGAACAGCAACTTATACAAACTACATCTAGAAAGCCTATTGCATTTATACCCTTGTATTGTAGGCCTATATTAAAAATATTTTTTTGTGTTTGTAACAACATGTTTTAAACTACTAATTAATATACACAAGCAGAGTAGATCAGAGACAACACAAAGCTAATCAATTTAACTAACTAGAAAATGAAATCTATTGGTAATTAAATGTCTTTGAAGTAATTTATGAAGTAAACTAATGAAAAATAGTGAGGGAGGTGGAGGTGCATCCAGGTAAAAGTCAGCAGGGTTAGGTCCCTGGATGGAGGTCTGCAGACAAACTCTCTTGAAAACACAATTAGTGGTGAAATACACACAAGATGTAAAAGCACACAAACAGACCGTGGCTCTTGGTCAAATACAACAGAATTGTTCACTAAAACTGTTGAAAACAGATGAGCATGCAAGAACTAAGAGGCAAACACCAGAAATTAATCAAACAACCTACCTTTTTAAATTGTATTTTATATCCTTTAGACACTTTCTCTGTTTGTTTATTGCATTACTGCATGAAGTCTGAAGACTGGTGAGTTCCTCGAGTTTCTGTCTGTATATTTTGTGTGTTTCCTAGAAATGTAGCAAATACAAGTTTTACAAATAGTTTGCATCAGGTGTTCTGTTGGCAGTTTAGCACTACCTTAATCTTTTAACATATTCAGTGTAAAATTAACATTTCATTTAGGCCCAGTTTTTAAACATTTATCGCTAAACGAGTCACCATCTCAATATACAGACAGGTGAGATCAAAGAAGTTAAGCTGTTTCAGGGCATGCTAGCATGAGATAGCATGCTAGAACATTAATGTGCTGGCCCAAAAATTTTATTTTTTCCCATATAATGTGAAGCATAGAACAACAAGGTACCTACTAAAACTACAGTTATTAAGTAAACAAACAACAAACAGTGCGTTTGCATTAGCAACTCATTAGCGAGCTAGACATTACTTTACCAACTTGCTAAACCGCATAAAAAAAATAAAAAAAAGTCAAGTATATGAATGCTAATCTAAACAATAAAAATCAGTTGTCTTACCGCATCATTGTAGTGGCTGGAGTCTATAGGAGACTGCATTAACACTGAACTAGTGCTATGGATAAATGATTGGCGAATGAGCCAGTCAGCAGCAGCCGCACTAACACTTGCTAACCTACTACAGCTGTGATGTTCACGATTTACAAGACCCAAATTCAAATACTGTTCATGTATTACAAGAAAGAGTCACCTGTAATTGTTGATATTCTTCATCAAGTTCCTCCCATTCCGTTTGAAACTTGGATTTAGACATTGTAGTAGAGGAGCTGAACAGACACGGACAGCACAGCCGGGATTGGGATTGGTTTCAGTCCACTCAGAATGCGATTTTGCCCGGGCCGCAGTGCGCATGTGCAAAAGTCACCGGTGTCATGCCAAAAAAAAAAAATCAAAAAAATCAAAAAATCCAAGACAGAAAATGGTAAAAGTGCACCTTTGGCCAGTTACAAGTGTCCCACAATCGACTGTGTCGATTTAAAAAACAAAGTGATTTATTGTGAATCTTTTAGGCTATATGTGGAAAAAAAGTTACGTGCACTGGTTTAAGCAGTTTCTGATGCGAAGGAAATTGCACAAAATGAATGCAATGAATGCAGATTAACTAATATCACACTCTCAAATGGCGGTGAGGAGCGGTTATATTTTAAAAATGATGTTTCCATATAAAATCACCTGATACTCAAGCAGTTCCGTTGCTAAGAGACGATGTATGCTTCCCACAGAGGGACTCTCCAAACAGCAAGCTAACAACATTTTCGAGGAGAAATAGCGTCGTGTGAGGTCTTTTTTGTAGGGTGAGTTATAGTATTCACCTAGCAGGACAGACTTGTGAAGGTATTGTGTTATTTCTTGATTGTAGTTATTGGCCTACTGTAAATGTGTTATTTTACTTTCAGGAGTTTCGTTGACTTAAACCCTAGTCATGCAGTATTTGCGACCCAGTCACAAAAAACAGCCACTGTCAACACTGTGGGATAAAAAGGCCCAAAAGAATGGACTGAAGAACACTGTTTATTCTGTCTGTGGAAACGAATATACTGGAGAATGGCAGAACAACAAGAAGCATGGTGAAGTAGCCTACAACCTGTAAACTCAACAGAATTCATATTAAACTGCAAATTAACTAAAAAGATGTTTACATCCTCAAGGCAAGGGAACTCAAGTGTGGAAGAAGGCTGGTGCAATTTATGATGGTGAATGGAAATGTGGAATGCGTGATGGATATGGCACCTACAGCATTCGAAATCCACTATCCAATGAGTATACAAGAAAATATTGTGGAGAGTGGAGAAATGGGAAAAAACATGTATGTATATGTATACAGAATGCTACAGCATTTATACTATACTTTAACATGTAATTCGCTGATCTTTTGCTTGGCTCAAAAGGGTTTTGGGACATTCCTCTACAACTGTTCAGAAGTTTATGAAGGAGAGTGGAGTGAGGATACACGTTGTGGGTGGGGAAGAATGTACTATGCCAATGGAGATATCTATGAAGGAGAGTGGTGGAAGGACAAGAGTCATGGCAAAGGCATTATTCGATGTGGTAAAATGCTGCATTTTTGTTTTGTAGTAGTAGTAGCAGTCTAATAACTATGATTACACTTAATTTCAGAGTTTGCATTTTTGTGTCTAAGCAAATGGAAACTGGTATGAAGGTTCCTGGAGAGATGGAAATAAGAATGGCTATGGGAAGTTTTTCTACTCTGACAAAGGGCAGCTTTATGAGGGCTTTTGGTTGGATGGTACAGCAAAATGTGGCACACTGGCTGATTTTGGGAGAAGCGAAGCTTCAAGACCACCAAAATATCAGATTCCACAGGTAATGTTGAAATAACTGCTAGCAGGTAATAGTTTATTTGACTTATGTTATGTGGAAAAAAATAACAACTTGTTGTTTTGTTCATTTTCATTTTTAGCTGCAGCTAGTGGATATACAGATAGTATTGACTGAAGCCCAATCGGCCTTCAAGGATCACATGATAGCAGCCACTCAAGAATAAAGTCCCATCAAAAAACTGGAATACAGAGGTCCCTATTGTATGTTTTTCTGCCAAAAAGAAATTGTGTTTAATGGGTTCCATAAGAATTACTGTTGTAAATTTCCCAGTAACTGTTAGTTCAGTAGGAGTTATAGTTCTGTTTATTTAGATCAGGCATTCATAGGCAGCTGAGGGGTCCTTGGGAGCACCATGGTAATGCTGTCACTGTTACCATGGTGATGTTGTTACTTGTGGACTAACTGCTGTAGTTTTAGATCTTTACCTTTAACCTCTCTAAATCTGTGCCTATGATTGTTTCTATAATTGCTATGTAATGTTCTGATACTAATTAATTAACTTTATTAACTTGATTAATTTACCTGATTGCTGATGTAAACTGTTTAACTGTTACTGATTATGTGCGTGTGTAACTTCAGTTAGTAATGATTCAAATGAATGTTCCTATAGATTACCAGATGAAAGGATAGATTAACAGACAGCTAATAAGATTGAAGACAGGACATTAAAGCTCCAGAAATACATTCCTGTGTCCGTTTTACTCGCTGACTGGAGTATTGTTTAGATTAATTGTCCCAGTACACATTATATAGTCCTCCCTAGCCATCTTCAACAATTACAATGGTTGTTTTCAAATGCTAGTATGGAGTCACATTTGTACTCACATTGTTGTAGGCAAAATCACTTCGGTATTAACATTATCTTTAACAGCTGATCATGTCTATCAGCGATTGGGTTCAGGATTCCACTCTTAATACAATGTGCATCTCCATGTAACTCCACACTTATTGTTTGCAGTGACAAGTCCCTGTTTAATATCTCCACTGCCATAATAAAAGAATGGTAAAAAGATTAAAAAGTAGAAAGTATATGTAAATTTTTATTTTACAGCAAAATGTGTTAATGTGTTTTTCACATGTACTTTGTCAAAAAGAAAAAAGTGAAATGAAAGTTAAGTACCCTTATTATGTTAATAATACTGCTCTTTAGCATATGTTGTAATTATTTTCAAATAACATGCAATTATAATATTAAACTGTTCACATACTACAAACACAATAATAAATGAATGTGGTTCATAAAACACAAATAATAAAAAAGTAATCTTTCAATAGTGTGCGATAAGAAAATAGCAAGCAGCTGATATTATTTCAGATATTCTGTTACAGTACAAGTTACATATAAAAAAACACAAAAAAACAACTTAAGACTTTTGATAAACTTCAATTATGACAACTCTGTGTTATTTGATTAAAAACTGTAATACATGCATTATTTGCAGTACTATGTAATCAATCTTTCAAAAAATCTGAAAAGTGGCTTGTAGGTACACAAGAGGTTCTTTGTTTCTTCTTTAAGGGAAATGTGAAGAGGGAGACTGTAGGATGGATGAGTCCCCTCTATTGTCCAACTCGTTCTGTAATCTGGTAAGATTTGATAGCTCCTCAAGCTCTTGAAACTGTCTGTCAGTCTTGTGGCTCACTAAGGAGCGATAGAAATGCACTGCAAACACAATGAATACTAGCCCAAATGGGACCATAATTGAAGTGGACGTAATTGCAGCAGCAACACCAGATGAAACGGTATTGTTGTTAGATTTGTTGGGTTTGATTGGCAAAAATTTTACCCAACAAAGTAATACCACTTCAGCCAGAAACAACAAGGTGCCAATAACTGTTGAAAAAGCCCACGCAAGTTCAATGTGTCTGTACATCCGTTCATGTGGAGACTCTTTCACAGAGTCCAGGTTATGGACATTGCTGACAGCCTCTATATTGGGTAGAATACAGGTGCTCACCATAAGAGCAAACAGGTGGACGGCTACAAGCACAGTGGTGCAGGCACTAAAGGCAATGAGCAAAGCAGGGGGGTATGGGTAACTGTTGTCCAGCTGTACTTCCACCATGGCTATCTGAAAACACAAGCACAGCACATGCAATAAACACACGGTGCTGAGTGCCCTACAAGTTATGTGTAATAGAGCATAAAGCGTAATTAGAAGAAATATGAGGCGTAGGAGAATATTACCATAGCAAATCCAGAGAGAAGCGCCGATGTTCGACTTGAAGCCTTGAGTTTAGCGCGGCTGAGGTAGAGCTTTCTCCAGGAAAGTGCTTGGAGCGAATGCTCGTTGAGACTCATGTTCTCCTTCTCATAAATTTCCAGACTGGCCGATCAAGCGTATTTCCTTCGCTACCTTTACCAAACACAACCAAAACAGACTTTCAGCATGCTAACAGGCTACACTGACAAGACACTTAACCTTGCCAGCTGACAGAGAAAGCTATTTTTTCACTACCAGCAGCAGCAGCCGTTCACAGCGTGCTGCACTGACACTGTTGTCTGCACCTTACATTTCCCATAATCCCCTGCGCCCAAAGGAACATCCGCTAAAACAAGCTAGCTACTCAGTAATAACAAAGATATAATTTGTGTTTTAAGTATAATAACTCTCCTGTTCCTGGTTTAGTAATACAATTTTCTTTTATACAGCACATAGTTGTTGTCTGTTTTACTAACCACGTGATGCGTGTCACGCACAAACTGCAAGTACCACAATGAATGAAACGGCAAACCCTTCATAACATCTTGATCTTCAGCAAGATCATATTCAACAGCTGCACATATTCTACACATATATCTTATGACTGACCAGTGTGACCAAGATCTGTCAGAAGCAAGTCAGAAGTGATAAATGTCCACATTAAACGCAATCAAAAGCCGTTCATGCAGTGACGCTGTCCAACAATGTTTTGGTTCCAGGTGGTGACGTAATAGACAAAAACATGGTTCCCTTGTTTTGAACCCGAAAAGCGTGCTAAGTGTGGCTTTAACTTTTATACAAAGCAACATGCTTTTCCTAAACTGAGACACTGGGCGCTGTTTACAAGAGAAGATGGCCCAGTCTACGGAAACGTGTGCTGAGTCTGGACGCAAGCTGGTGTGTACTATCTCCCGTGAAGCCATAAACGTGAAGTGAAGCCTATCGTTAGCTTCAGAAACGATACTGGCAGCTAATTAGTAGCTAAGCTAACCTTTACCACCATATTCGCTGTCATTACTAGTGAACAAGTTAACAGCTATTAAACTACGCACAATTTCGGATGCAGTCACTCACTCTTCTTGTAACGTGCAAATGAACCATGAGTTTATGAAACTGGCTAAAATGAACAAAAAGGATAAAAGTCTTTTATACAATACTAAGGTTTTAAGTGTTCAAATGGCACTCTTGGACACTAAATAGCATTGCATATCCATGTATAAGGTTTTATGAAAACAGGCATTTAATAACATAGTCAAAATTCCTCAAATTCTCAAATTTTCTCAAATATACGTTTGTGTTTTTCATTCGTTTACTATGGCAGCGCTCCATCTGCCGGAGGATGTATGACGAAAACGATGATCCGTCTGATGTTGAAGAAATTGCCAATATTAGAGGATTTAGTGTAGAAGAGAAGCTCACCAGTGACATCTACACCTCAAACTTTGTGCACATAATGGATGGTAGGGGTAAGTATTATATTATAATTTCCACAGTTCATTGTAGCTCTCTGTTTCTAAAGAGTGTTTTTGTGTGTGTGTGTGTGTGTGTGTGTGTGTGTGCGTGTGTGTGTGCAGATTTTACATATGAGTATGTACAAAGGGAAGGTCTTAGAAAGCCCCTTATCTTCAAAGAGAAAGATGGCTTAGGGATCAGGTAAGGGACACCACATTACACTCTTCATATGATACAATATAAAAATATATATTTTTGTTGTGTTCACATTGAGCTTTTGTTTCCTAACCACATTTTATGTTCATACAGAATGCCTGATTCACAATTCACAGTTAGTGAAATTAAAGGTCTAGTTGGTAAGTAAAATAAATAAAACATTTACATTGAACAGTAAAATAAATTAAAGCCGCGCGCGGCGATGGTGGCCCTCGCCCCGGCACGCCACCCTCTCTTCCCGACATCCGCCCAGGCCGACAGCTAGTCGATTAGACACGTTATATAATGCACCTTTAAATATTTTTAGGAGTCATTGCGCCCCTGCTGGCCAACAGTGGAAAATGCACCATGTCCATAATAGACTCTGACTTGTAATCATGCATAGAATTTAATTCCCGAATTTGGTACAAATCCAATAATGTTGATGTTTCATGTCTATGGTAGGGGGCGCTATAGAGTTCACAGTTCATATGTTTTATAGTGTATTATATTCAGGCCATGATCAGGCATTAGTGATTCAAATTTCAGCATGATCGGACTAAGCCTGTGTGTGTAATTACTTTTAAACTATTTTTTGGGGGAGTCTTTGCGCCCCTGCTGGCCAATAGTGGAAAATGCATCATGTCCGTAATAGACTTTTTTGCTTGTAATCATACATAGAATTTATGTCCCGAATTTGGTACTAATCCGATAATGTTGATGTTTCACATCTATGCTAGGGGGCGCTATAGAGTTCACTTTTCACATACTTCATAGTGTATTATGTTTAGACCGTGATCAGGCATTAGTGATTCAAATTTCAGCCCAATCGGACTAAACCTGTCTGTGTAATAATTTTTTAACTATTTGTTGGGGGAGTCTTTGCACCCCTGCTGGCCAAAGGTGGAAAATGCATCATGTCCGTAATAGACTTTTTTTCTTGTAATCATGCATAGAATGTAATTCCTGAATTTGGTACAAATCCAATAATGTTGACATTTCATGTCTATGCTAGGGGGCGCTATGGAGTTCACTTTTCATATGTTTTATAGTATATTATATTCAGGCCGTGATCAGGCATTAGTGAGTCAAATTTCAGCACGATCGGACTAAGCCTGTGTCTGTAATCATTTTTTTACTATTTTTTGGGGGAGTCTTTGCGCCCCTGCTGGCCAGTGGTGGAAAATGCATCATGTCCGTAATGAACTTTTTTGCTTGTCATCATGCATAGAATTTAATTTCCGAATTTTGTACAAATCCAATAATGTTGACGTTTCACGTCTATGCTAGGGGGCGCTATGGAGTTCACTTTTATTAGATTTCATATTTCATTACATTCAGACCTGGATCACACAATTGTGATTTGAATTTGAGTTCTCTAGGACAATGCCTGTGGCCGTGACAGGTCACCGAAAAAACAGGAAATGAAGGCGTTATTCGGCGGCGTGCTACGGGCGAACCGTAACGAGTATCTCAAAAAAATTTGTCAACTTCTGTGACTTCATGTCTGTAGATGTGACATGTCAAATTCGAGCTCATTTGGACCAAACCCCGGGGACTTGAATGTTTTTGTAGACACCCAAGTCAAAACGGCGCCGAATGTTTGATCCAATATGGCCGACTTCCTGTTCGTCATAGGGGTGCACAATGATTGGCTTTTTTGTTTGTCTCCTTGAGTTCTGTCACTGCTCCGAATTTCGTGACCGTACGACAGAATTTGCCTCTTAGACTCCCATTCATTTAAAAATGTGCAATTTCTAGGGGGCGCTGTTGAGTGGGGGGGCTTTGGGCATAGTCGCAATGCCCATTTTATCAAATTTTTCACCGGACCGCTCGATCTGATACCCGGTTTGGGGACTTTTCGTCGACGTTTAGGCCCTCAAAATTGAGATCCTTTGCAAGGAAAAATTATAATAGAGCGTAAGAAACCGAGCAAAAACAATACCCCTTGCACCTAACTTTGTTAGTGGCGAGGGCCAATAAAACATTTACATTGAACAGAAACTTTTTTGTGGCCAGTTGGAAGTTACTACTACAACAGAGAAAATATATTCTCAACACATTTTATGTTGAAATCAGAATCCATTTCCATATGTATCATTCAAAAGTGATTTCCACAAATGGTTGACTAAATCTTCTGTGTCTAAAATTTTTTAGTGTCATATAATTTCACATGCAACCACACTTTGTAAATTAAAAACAAATGACTAGTCTCTATAAAAGTGTCAATGTTGTACATACTAACAAAAAATTTAGGAAAATGCAAAGACAATTTTTGATTAATGAGTAATCTGTGATTTTGACTCCCAGGAAGCCGTCGCTCTGTGGATGTAATGGATGTGAGCACTCAGAAAGGCTCTGAGATGAGCATGGCTCAGTTTGTTCGCTATTATGAGACACCAGAGGAAGAGAGAGATAAGCTGTTTAATGTTATTAGTTTAGAGTTCAGCCACACTAAGCTGGAACACCTCATCAAAAGACCAACAGTGGTGAGAATAATCATATTTGTCACGATCAGTTAGTTTATGTTTTGTAATAATAATATTTTTTGATTATTTTATTTCTGCTTTCATAGATTGACCAAGTTGACTGGGTGGACAATATGTGGCCTCCAGATCTTAAACATAGCCAGACCGAAGGAACCAATGTTATTTCAGAAATGAAATACCCTAAAGTTCAGAGGTATGGTTCTGTTATGTTTTAAATTTTAACATGTTTGCATTTATCACAAGATGTATTTCCACTTTTCAGTGGCAAATATTCACCATTATGTACATTTTACCTGACTGCCTTGTTAATTGGATGGTAACTGTACAGTGCTGCATGCTGTAATTCACCTCCTGATGGTTGCTAGGCAGCAGTACCCCACAGTGGAGAAGGGAAACAGCTGTGGCCTCACAGAGCCATTCATCCAATCAGCTGCTTGCTACACCTTTTAACTTACAATCACAATTCACACTTGCCTTTTCTTATGGCTGTCTCATTTGACTGTTGATTACTTAAACAATTTATTCTTTATTGTCATTTTTCTTACAGAATAGCCTACATAAAAATGTGTGGTATTAAGATTATATGAATTAATAAATGGTAAATGTGGTTACCCAATAGCTCTATTTATCCCACCACAAAGACTTACACTTTGCCATATCCTGATTTCTAAAAAGTTACTTGGAAAAACTAAATGTATTACGCCATTACATCAAGCCTTGTGCATTGCTCTGTTTATAGGTACTGTTTGATGAGCGTCAAGGGCTGCTACACAGATTTTCACATTGATTTTGGAGGCACTTCAGTCTGGTATCATGTCTTCAAAGGGAAGAAGGTAATTTGTACACATACAATATTACCTGTTAAATACTGACTAACTTCTAAACATTTTTTGTCTGCACTTGTGTATTTGTATGTGTATTTTAGATGATCTGCTTGTTGTTTATAGGTATTCTGGCTGGTCCCGCCAACTTCTTATAACCTTGCCCTATATGAAGACTGGGTTTTGTCAGGGAAGCAGAGTGACATTTTCTTGGGAGACCGAGCGGATGGATGCCAGAGAGTGGAGCTTAAGCAAGGATACACCTTCTTTATCCCATCTGGTGAGTTTGTAATGCCAGGTTGAGCAGACTTTCACATTATCTCTCATAGTGTGAGGAGGAATATTGTTCCAGACGTTAATGGAAGTGTGGAACTTCTTATTATTGGTGTTTCTGAAGGTCCTTCACAGGTCCTCCTATGTACAATACTTCAAGCATGTTCATAGTATGTTTTCACTTAGCATTAAAATATCTCGTTTTTAGGCTGGATCCATGCTGTCTACACTCCAGAGGATACACTGGTGTTTGGAGGCAACATTTTGCACAGCTTTAACATTCCTATGCAGCTCACCATCCATGAGATAGAGAACAGAACCAAGGTAGTGTCCTGCAGTGTTGCAGGTTTCTGGCCTGTTGAGCAAGGCCTTTCTTCTTTCTGACCACACATCACATCAGACAACTGTATTTTTGTGACCATCTGGTAGTCAAAATAACAAACCATACATCTTCTTTTACCTCAAATAAGTTAGTGTAGTACTTCATTTGTTGATTCAGCAGTAATTCATACTGTTTCTCTATGCTATTTTTTTACTTGCTGCCATTTTGTTTTGATGCCAAGTGATCATGCGTTTCTCTGATTTGTTAATCCTCCTGTCAGTCAAGGTCATCGGAATTCGTGGAGACCTGATATGGTTCTACATTACACATCTTTATAAAGTTTAGTAAAAATGTGTAGTCTTGGCTGTCCAGACAAGCAGCTCTCTGATACTTGTAAGACACTGGTAAAAATCTTGTACATATTTCTATTATAGAAAACATGCATCTCTTTTTTAGGTTCATTCCAAATTCCGCTTTCCTTTTTACTACGAGATGTGCTGGTATGTTATTGAGAGGTATGCATATTGCCTAACTAAGCGATCCTACCTTTCTCATGAGTTCCACAAAGAGCCAGCACTATTGGGTAAGCAAGGCAGTGTTTGTAAAAGTCTTAAATCCTGACAAAAAAATTTAATATTATTCCAATCAGAGTATTTTTTATCCATATGCACTGTTTTTACTAACTACAATATGTTATGGAATAGGGATGATTGCACTGTTTATTACATATCTATGATCTCATATGTAATAATAACATTAAAAGTTTAAGTGCTATTATTTATGGATTAATTCTATTACAATGGTGATAACACATCTTTGGTAAATAATGTATTTTTTGTATATTTTTTAGATATTGACTCCACAACAAATATAGCTAGCCCCTTCTCTGATTCAAGGAGCCAGGATGTGAATGAGGACTCATACGAGAGAATTTACACGGACACTTCACCTGGGAACACAAAGAGTCATCTTTTTGGAGCAGATCTTTCTCTGGACTTGGAAGACAGCTGTAATCCTGGTTTCAATACATTAGATTTCCCCAAATCCCCATTGGACTGTTCTCTGTCAGAGTCCAAGAGCAAATGGACTTATTTAACTGAGTTTGAACTAAATGGTCTTAAAACACTGGTAGAAAAACTGGAGGCCCTACCTGAAAACAAGAAGTGCGTTCCAGAGGGAATTGTAGATTCACAAAGGCTTCTAGAATCAATGAAGGTATGAACAATAACAGTCTGTCAAACTAAATGACAGGGTTGGAGTGTGTTATGTACTTAATTATTGCCTTTGATTGTCCAGGTTGTGTTAGAAGAACATGCCGATGATGACTCGATGTTGGCCATAACAGGAGTTCCTGTAGTATATGGGCCTAAAAATAATATGAAGGTAGGGCAAATAAATTAAATTACATCTATTTTTGGCCCTCGCCACTAACAAAGTTAGGGGCGAGGGGTATTGTTTTTCGTTGGTTTCTTACGCTCTATTATTGGCCCTCGCCACTAACAAAGTTAGGGGCGAGGGGTATTGTTCTTCGTCGGTTTCTTTTTTTTTATTTTTATTTTTTTATTCCCTTTTCCGACCAAACGATCGCATTTTTGACCCCCTGAACATGGACGAAAAGTCCCTAAACCGGGGTCCAGATCGATCGGCTGGCGAAAAATTCGATAAAATGGGCATCGCAACAATGACCCGAGTGACCTGACTCAACAGCGCCACCTAGAATTCGACCCCTATGGGAGTGGGGACAGGCAAAGTTTGTCGCAGGGAAACGAAATTCGGGACAGTGATAGAGAACAATGAGACAAGCCAAAAGATGAATTGGAGCATGACCCTATGACGAACAGGAAGTCAGCCATATTGGATCAAACATTCGCCGCCGTTTTGACTTGGGGGTCTACAAAAAGATTCTACAGACATGAACTCACAGAAGTTGCCAAATTTTTTTGGGATACTCCTTACGGTTCGCCCGTAGCACGCCGGCGAATAACGCCTTCATTTCCTGTTTTTTCGGTGACCTGTCACGGCCACAGGCATTGTCCTAGAGAGCTCAAATTCAAATCACAATTGCGTGATGCTGGTGTGAATGTGATGAAATATGAAATTTAATAAAAGTGAACTCTATAGCGCCCCCTAGCATAGACGTGAAACATCAACATTATCGGATTAGTACCAAATTCGGGGCATAAATTCTATGTATGATTACAAGCAAAAAAGTCTATTACGGACATGATGCATTTTCCACTATTGGCCAGCAGGGGCGCAAAGACTCCCCCAAAAAATTGTTAAAAAATAATTACACCCACAGGGTTAGTTCGATCGTGCTGAAATTTGAATCACTAATGCCTGATCATTGGTCTGAATATAATAAACTATAAAACATATGAAAAGTGAACAGTATAGCGCCCCCTACCTTAGACATGAAATGTCAATATTATCGGACTTGGACCAAAGTCGGGGAATAAATTCTTTGCATGATTATAAGCAAAAATGTCTATTACAGTCATGGTGTATTTTTCACGGTTGGCCAGCAGGGGCACAGAGAATTCCCCACAAAATATTGTAAAAATTATTATATGCACGTTTTGTCCGATTGTGATGAAATTTCTATCAGTTATACACTGCATGACCCTTATTCCATTGATATGTCAAATACAGTTATCAGGGATACAGCGCCACCTATATGAATGCACACAATTTATTATTGTAAAAGTTTGCCAGAACATTCACTGACGTACTCCTAACAACGTTAGAGGCGAGGGGTATTGTTTTTGCTCGGTTTCTTACGCTCTATTATTATTATTTTTCCTTGCAAAGGATCTCAATTTTGAGGGCCTAAACGTCGACGAAAAGTCCCCAAACCGGGGTCCAGATCGATCGGCCCGGCGAAAAATTCGATAAAATGGGCATCGCGACAATGACCCGAGTGACCCGACTCAACAGCGCCACCTAGAATTCGACCCCTATGGGACTAGGGACAAACAAAGTTTATCGCAGGGAAACGAAATTCGGGACAGTGATAGAGAACAATGAGACAAGCCAAAAGATGAATTGGAGCATGACCCTATGACGAACAGGAAGTCGGCCATATTGGATCAAACATTTGGCGCCGTTTTGACTTGGGTGTCTACAAAAAGATTCAAGTCCCCGGGGTTTGGTCCAAATGAGCTCAGATTTGACATGTCACATCTACAGACATAAACTCACAGAAATGTTCAACTTTTTTTTTAATACTCCTTACGGTTCGCCCGTAGCACACCGCCGAAAAACGCCTTCCACCATTGGCCAGCAGGGGCGCAAAGACCCCCCAAAAATAGTTAAAAAATTATTACACCCACAGGCTTAGTCCGATCGTGCTGAAATTTGAATCACTAATGCCTGATCACGGCCTAAACATAATACACTATAAAACATATGAAAAATGAACTCTATAGCGCCCCCTAGCATAGACATGAAACGTCAACATTATTGGATTTGGACCAAATTCGGAAATTAAATTCTATGCATGATGACAAGCAAAAAAGTCTATTACGGACATGATGCATTTTCCACCACTGGCCAGCAGGGGCGCAAAGACTCCCCCAAAAAATAGTTAAAAAATTATTCCACCCACAGGCTTAGTCCGATTGTGCTGAAATTTGAATCACTAATGCGTCATTGTCGACCTGGGCGAATGTCGGGAAGAGAGGGTGGCGTGCCGGGGCGGTCGCGAGTCCCCGGAGGTCGCGTGGGGGGGCGGTGCGCGCCGGGACGAGGGCCACCATCGCCGCTCATTGTGCTCATCTTTTTTTGGCAATTTGCTTTCGAAGACCACAGTTCTTTAGTTTAAGGTCATGGTTTAAGGTCAAGGGTATATTTCCTCTGTTATTTCTGGCCATTTTTGTTTTATAATTGAGTTGTTTTGTAAGTGTTGCTGTACTTACTGTTACGCAGATAAAAAGTGCGACCTACTCTGTGAAATCTACTCTGTAAAGTCTCCTCTGTGAAGTCTACTGTTTGAAATCTTTGTACGATTTGCTCTGTGTCAAGCTCAGCTAAATGTGCCTTTTCCGTTAAGCGATATGTGATTTTCGATTTGTGATTTGCGATTTGCCTACTCTTATAACTCTCCCCGAGGCCAAACAAAGCTTTGAGTTAAAGCCCACAAAGCTTTGAAGTTTAGCTTTGAGTTCCGGAGTTGCCATGGTAACAAGGCTTTATGGAACTTTACATGTATGATGTCATCGGCGCCGTGAACCTGATGGAACTGGGAGGTTTTCAGGTTCTAGAATGTGATGATGTCATACTCCCAGACGGGGCAAGAGCCACGTTTCCCTGTTGACTGAGGCCGAGTGTTGTTAAGAAGTCACTGATATGAGACAAAACTCGATACAGTGCGCTTTCGATTCGATACGGTTCAGTAAAAAATAAAGGCTAAATCATGGAAAATCTTTGTTAAACCACTTCTTGTGCAAAGTTCATATGAAACACAAACATTTTAATCCTCAAAACAGCGAAAATGTCAAACGAGTTTCCTTCCACTAAACAAACAACGAAACTGTAGCTGTAACAAAATCATTTAGTAAAATAAACCAAAAATACTCTTGGTGATATATCGATAGAGAGCAGCCCACAATATGGATACTGTGTCATCACATTAAACGATACGATATATCGATATTTCAATATTTTTGCACACCCCTCTACTCTTTATCACACGAAGACCACAGTTCTTTAGTTTAAGGTCATGGTTTAAGGTCAAGGGTATATTTCCTCTGTTATTTCTGGCCATTTTTGTTTTATAATTGAGTTGTTTTGTAAGTGTTGCTGTACTTACTGTTACGCAGATAAAAAGTGCGACCTACTCTGTGAAATCTACTCTGTAAAGTCTCCTCTGTGAAGTCTACTGTTTGAAATCTTTGTACGATTTGCTCTGTGTCAAGCTCAGCTAAATGTGCCTTTTCCGTTAAGCGATATGTGATTTTCGATTTGTGATTTGCGATTTGCCTACTCTTATAATCTCCCCGAGGCCAAACAAAGCTTTGAGTTAAAGCCCACAAAGCTTTGAAGTTTAGCTTTGAGTTCCGGAGTTGCCATGGTAACAAGGCTTTATGGAACTTTACATGTATGATGTCATCGGCGCCGTGAACCTGATGGAACTGGGAGGTTTTCAGGTTCTAGAATGTGATGATGTCATACTCCCAGACGGGGCAAGAGCCACGTTTCCCTGTTGACTGAGGCCGAGTGTTGTTAAGAAGTCACTGATATGAGACAAACCTCGATACAGTGCGCTTTCGATTCGATACGGTTCAGTAAAAAATAAAGGCTAAATCATGGAAAATCTTTGTTAAACCACTTCTTGTGCAATGTTCATATGAAACACAAACATTTTAATCCTCAAAACAGCGAAAATGTCAAACGAGTTTCCTTCCACTAAACAAACCACGAAACTGTAGCTGTAACAAAATCATTTAGTAAAATAAACCAAAAATACTCTTGGTGATATATCGATAGAGCAGCCCACAATATCGATACTGTGTCATCACATTAAACGATACGATATATCGATATTTCAATATTTTTGCACACCCCTCTACTCTTTATCACACTGTACTTTGCCACGAAATATCCAAAAGGTAAACGCACAAATGTTAAACCTGGTATTGAAATGATTAAAAAACTCACTGTTAGAACACAATGGCCACGTTCACATGATGTTTTTTAATTGTTCTGGATTAAATAGTTTGGACTTAAAATATTTTCCTTGGAGTTTACATGGAAATAATAATTCTGAATATCTGGGTTTCACGTGACATTACAGGGCGACGTTTGTCAGCACGCAAAATCAGATGGAGGGCAAGAAGTGAACCGACTGGAGGGAAATGCCGAAGTGTTGTGCAGTTTACGGCTGTGCCAATTATTCTAACCGAGAGAAGGAAAAGCGATTTTTTTAGAGTACCGAAGATAGTCGTCCACAAAGGTCAGAAATGGGAAAAGCTGACAGAACAACGCCATAAAAAGTGGATTACAAACTAGAGCCCGACCGATATGGATTTTGCTGTGGCCGATATGAAACCGATATAATGGGAGTTGGCACTGCCGATAGCCGATATAATCACCGATATATTTAGTGATGTAAAAATTCACTGTAAATGTTGAATTGTTTAAAAAACTTAGGTTTGGCTCTGGTGGATTTTAAATTGGGTTTATTTAGGCAACATTTATTGTTATTCTGCCTCTTTACATCATATTTACAGACAGTAGGTTGACTTAATGGCATTTTTGCATCACATTCTAGACACTAGTGATGGGTATTCCAGTTCTTTTTAGAGAACCGGCTCTCTTTTGGCTCGGCTCACTAAAAGCTGCTGGTTCTTTTGGCTCCCAAGTGGCTCTTCAGATTGTTTTGT